TGTGAGCTTAATATTGGCTAGTACATTTTTGACCTTAATTTTGACAGGCTTTTACTTCTGCATGTCAGTTTACATGGGAAGGCTGGCTCAGGCATGGGGACCTGGACACTAACCTGATCTGGCCAGACCTAAAAGTAAACCAATCAATGCATCTTTAATTTGAAATGCTTAATGACTAATCTCTTGTTTTCTTTAATTAATGATCTACAGTTAATCATTGTGAATAGTAAATTGTCTATTTCAGTATTGATAGGAAGAGTTCCTATGGGAAAATGTTCCCCTATAGCTTTAATTTAAATATGCATTTTCACATCACACTTACCATATCCTTACCTTTATGCTATCGCATGATTACAGGTCCATTAACTAATCACATTTGACAACTTGTTTATTGAGGGGAGCAACTACTTTACATTTCCTGCCTGGGAAAGAAAATGCTCTAACAAACAATTATTCAGCAGCTGCAATCATGGAGCACTGAATTAATTGGTTTGAAGATCTCAGTCAAGAAGATCTTGATAAAAAATCAAAGAAAATGTTGTTTGACAGAATGCATGAATGAGAGTGCCAGGAGGGACTCAGGCTTGGTAAGCTGCAGCCCTGCTCCAGGGAGCACTCCATGAGGACCTTGAAACACTGCACTCAGAGGAAGAGAAGGCTGTGGAAAAGCTCATTTGCTTGTTTGTTCTTTTATGTTTAGTTTTTCAAACCCAGAACATATAATTTGATTATAGGATCAGGATGCTGCTAAAATGGGCCAAAAAAACTGAGCACAATCACTTCTATAAAGGTTGATACATGGTTATCTCATATGCGTAACCTCTGTGGATGACTTCTTCTGCCATACAAATAATTAACCCAAAGGGTACTGTGAAGTGTAATGATCATAAAGCACTTTAGAACTTTCTCCCAATGGGAGCTGTTGTGATTGCACTGGAATGGGATAAAAAGAAGAACAAGGCATGTGGGGATCTCAACTCTGGACTCGGCCAGGCAAAACTATCTTGGTGCACCTTGAGGCTGGGGAATGCCACTCACTCCCTGACAAATGTCCAAGAGGGCATCAGGACAGTTTGTCTCTTGAGTTAAAAGATCAGTGCATTGTTGGGAGTAGAGCATTGTAGAAAATAGTGGGATTGCTGCTAAAGCATGATGAAGGCACTGAAGACATCAACTGGAAAGGGGTTTCTGATCTCTCCAGCTCCTTTGTCAGCATGAGGAGGACCAGAGTGTCTCATATGAGACAGTCCCAAACTCTGCTCCATGGACAAGTCACAGACTGCAACACACTGGCCAGTTCTAAGCCATGCTTCCTTCTTTCAAATGCTGTCACCTTGTGTACTTTGCAAGTCAGCTGAGATGAAATATGTTTCTGCCAGATAAGACTGATTCCTACAGTGACACTGGAAAGGAAAGGAGAGCTTAAAGATCCAAAATTCTCTGTAGTAAAGAGCTTCAAAAGTGAAGTACAAAGACTAAACAATATCTTCTCTAAATATTAGGTCACTATAAAAAGCTGAAAAAGTTGCCCAGTAAGCTGAAGGGCAGTGATAATGTCAGGTGGCTTCTCAGAAAACATCCTGATTGGGCTTTTTGGTCACATCCCATTAGTAACACTGTCAGTTTTTCAAAACTCCCTTGTTCTTACATTAAAAGTTGCTAAGAGTTTGCTAGCATCATCTCTCTAGAAAAGGGAAGAAATAGAATTATTTTCCCTTTCCTGCATACCCCAAGTTCAGAGGGCCAGTGAGAATGGTGGTATTGAAGTCAGTCATGAACGTGGCACTATTTTGCCAAACCAAACACCCCTAAGGACTAATGCCTCAAAAGTGTGATGGAAACTTCTGTCACAATGGTTCATATTTAAAAGCGAGGGCAGAGAAACTGTGGCCTCCATCTTGACTCTTGTTTAAAATCAGTGAGAGTCCAAATTGAATTTATACACTTGTATGTACCCTGATTCAAATAATTGTTTCTGCAACAAGTCCTTGGCTCTCTTTAATGCTTCAACATGAGAGAGATAGAGCCTAAGTAACAGGCTCTATCTTTTCCTTTTCCCTTTTCTGTTTTTTTTCCCTATTTTTTTTTTAATTTGCATATATGGTTGACAAAATTTGCCCTGCCAAAGGAAATGTAGAAAGAAGCAAGTAAACAAGTTGTTGCTGAAGTTTGTATTTATCATTCTAGTAAGCTGTAGAGTAGCTGAAGACTCACATGTTCTGCTTTATCCTTATGAAAAATGTAAATAGCAGGTTACATATTAATGCTTAGAAATCACTAACTTTACTTGCCAAGGAATTATACAATTATTTTAAATGAATGAACAGAAAAGTGTACATCAGGCTGTAGGCTCAAGTGGCTATTGCACAAGCTGGGTTAAACCTGAGGTGTTCCCAAGACAGCAGACCTTTATCCTTCTTTAGGATAATGATCAAGAAAATCTTTAAGAATCTTCCTAATGAGGTCATGAGTAAAATGTGATGTATTATTAGACACACAAATGAACTCTGATTAAAATAATAGAAAAACCCTGATATATAAAAGGCATAGTGTATTAAATCCAGCTTGACCTGAAGCCATGTGTTGAATACCATTATTAGGATCTGTCCTTAATAAAAGGCTTTCCATTTAGTTAGTAAAATTTGAGATTCTACTAATTTTGAGTAAAGTTTTTTCCATCCTTGAAGAGCTGGTCTGCCCCATGTCAGGTGGCTCATGCTGTGTGATAAAGCTACAGCGATGAGAAGAGCGTTTTCATCCTCTACATCAAGACCCTAGGTCTGGATTCAGAAGAAAGGCAAAGCTGCCACAGGGCCCTCTATTTTCTTACAAGCCAAATATACAGGCTAAGAATCTGTCACCTCAGTGCTTTAGCAGCTGACACTGCAGCTGATCCATCCACATCATGGGAAGGTCAGTTAAATTGCTCTCAGTTTATTTCAAAAGCTCTCAACCCTTTTGCACAGACGTTGGACTGAGGAGAAATGACCACTCAAAACCAAAGGAAGTAAAGCAGCTGCTGCCATCCGAAAAGAAAATTTGCTGTGAGCACAAAGCAGCTCACTCGTGCCAGCCACATGGTTATAACAATTTTTCCTGCTATTGAGAAATCTGTGAGATATTAAGCTCACTATAACAGCACTAAGATCTTCCCTTGCTTAAGTTACATCTTTATTTAGGGACACATCATTCTGGCCACAGAGTGACGGAAATATTTTTATTTGGTTTTTGCTAATGCAGAATGAGTAGCTAAAACTGAGGCAATATTAATGAACATATTCTGTTCTTGTAAATCAAGAGTGCCCCTGAGCGAGTAGTGCTTGTTCAGCTCTGGGCACCTAGCTCAAGAAAGATATCATCAAAATAACACGTGGGATTTTGAAATAGACACTAATATAAAAATGGCAAATATAATCCAAACAAAGATGGAAAAGACTGGGACATTTTCCTTTAGGGTGATAAAACTTAATCAATGATATTTGTATTTGGAACCACTTTTATAGTGAGTGACAGAAAAAGGAATGTGATGAACAGTTGCTGACCCTTTCCTTCTTAGCAAGAGAAAATACACAAACTTTAAAGCTTGGAAAGAAAACTCTTGTGGCATATCATCAAGCTGCAAGTGCTACAAGACAGCAGTGATGCCAAAATTTAAGCAAATTAAAGAATACAATTTTTTACTTTTAACTGCCACTCTGAATTCATGTCCAGACAGAGACATAAAGTGAAACTTTGACAGACTAAAAGGCTTCCCACGTCTGCATATTAAAAAGCCTGTAATTACTGAGGGCTGGGAAGAGGCTGTGTACACAACGACTTTTTCTGTGAGTATTTCGTATCACTACCGAACACTGGACAAGAGCCGAAAAAAAACCCTTCAGGTGAAACAACATATATTATAAATAATGTCTTCTTATAGCTATTTTGCAAGAAGTTTATAGAAATGTGAAGAAATACCATAACAGAATAAAAGACACTTCACTAGTTATTATAAATTTTCTCCCTTTGGGGAGGTACATAAAAAACATTTAGAAAGCTATCTTGATATAAAAATCTTGAAAGATTGTTCTTTCCTCATAAGAAGCAATTTATTTTGATGTCTCACAAACTGGGTTTTTTTTGAGTATATAATACATATATGGAACAATTACAGTTTAACCATTTACTAATGGTTATATGAAGAAATCATCATATCTATATTCCCATGATTCCTTAAAGGAAACTGCAGCAGCTTTAGCTGCAGCACAATTTTCATTAAATCACTCAGCTGCACTGTCTTACCTTGCAATTGTCAATCCCACTTCCTTTGTTTCACAGACTCTTATTCCAAAATTAAAATGTCTAGCAATTCCTTTTGCCTTTATTACAGTAATTTTATAACTGGGTCAAAAGAAGACTTTACTTGAGTAGTTCAGTTAGCTCTAAATTAGTAGTGTCACACTGAGTTCTAGGTGGTGAGGTGGATTAGAGCTCCCTTTCAGCACAAGGCTGCCTGTGAAAGGAAAACAATTAATGGATGGATTAATTAATTAATCAATGGATGTCAGTGACTTATTTATGAAGTCACCTTAGAAAGCAGAGAGCAAGATGTAAATCTGCTTTATGGCATCTTTTCCTCCATGACTATGAGAGAAGTAAGATGAAACCTAAACCAGGGTGTTTTGTTTTGGCACGTTTGTGGTAAAAAGGTGCATCTCATAATATTTCTAACTTTACCTATTCACACAAGGTGGTGTCCATTGGATTAAGTGATTGGCGGGAGCATCAATTTAACTGAAAGCCAGTTAAACGGCTTTTCCTCCCTTCCTCCAGGTCAGAAAACTGAGGCTGATACTGTTTGCTGTTGTCAGTATGAGCCTACAGGGGTACAATCACGGCAGGCCCAAGGGAAAAGGAGCTACCCCTGAGCTCTCTCATTTTACAGCAGCCATCACCCATGGCTTATACACTGGAGTAAAGCTTAATGTAGTTCCAGATTGAAAAAAATTACACCAAAAACCTTTTATTCTAGAAACATTTTTAATTTCACTTGCATATTTTAACAGAAATACAATATGCTAGCAGCAAAATAAGAAGATTTCTGTTCTAACATTTCACAATACATTAGTGTCTAGATCTCCGTTTTTCTATTAAGGCAGTTTGCATTAATTAGAAAGGAACTCTGAATACTACAACAGTATTTCCAAATACATACAAGTCACCAAAAAATAACTATTAGTATTATTATCACAGGAAAAAAAAACCCCCACAATACTAGTAAAAATGTAAGCATTTGAAGGTAATGCCTTTAAACCACAGAAGGTACCGTCTTACCATTCCAAGACCAAGTAAACACATGAAGACATTAGGTAAATATAAAAAGTTAATAAATTAAGGCTTTGTTCAGTCAATATTTCAAATGTTCATGTTCTGTGAAATTTATATTCAAGTTTGAACTAGCAGTTAATTTCAAGTTGTACTTCCTAAATGAAGAGTTCAGGCTGAATTCTGTCTCCCCCACTTCAAGACTGCATCCAACCCCTTAACGCTGTTTTTAAGCAGCATTAATTAATCCCAGCAGAGAACAAGCAGGTATAGTTTTCAGAGCAGGCCCAGCACGTTCCTCAGAGAAGTCTCTAATCCCACGTGTAGTTCAGCAGGTGCCACCAAAGTCCTCCCTGTGCTACACTGGATCACTCGAGCCGTTCATCCTGGGAGAAGTGTTTCTCAATGGACTTCCCTGCCAGGTGACAGCATTCCAGCTTGCCTACTCAAATCTGAACACAGGGGAAGGGGACAGAAGGGCTGGGAGAAGCCACAAGTCCTCCAGGCCTCCTCCCAGCAGGAAGCTGCCAAATGACTTTTGGGTTTTGATCCGTGATACTTAGAGTCATGCAATTAAAGCATCCTCATTGAATGCAGCTGCTATGATGGTGAAACATTACATTCTCCTCTACTGCTGGGAGCAGCAGTTCCTCCAGGGGCACTGACTTTATTGTATAGCTGAGCTCTGTGTTTCCTGGGAGCCTGCAGGTTTTATTGGTTAAACCAACTTACTTAACAGAAGATGCAAAAGCACTAATGGCAATACAGAAGGGGGAGGGGAAAGAAAGGCAAAGTAACAAAAACTACCATAACCTGAATCAACTCTTTTGTCACAACAGGGATTATATAGTTCTGAAGGAGATTAACAGAATAATTAATGGCCTTGTTTGCTTTGTGGTGGTCACTGCAATATCATGAACTGGCCCACATGAGTCTAATTTAAGGATAGATGTAAAATATCAACACAGCTTAATGGAGAATATTGAACAACAGGTTGCATTTTACTCTTCAATATATTAAGCTTGGCTTGCAAAGATACCTGCACTGAGGTGTTACCCACAAGAACCCTGAAATACTTTCTGAAAACAAGATGAACATGTAATTTTCTTTAAAATATCATAATAATAATTTCAAGATACAGTATTAGTAGGGATTCAGCAAGAAACATAGCTGTTTGCCATCTTACTGAAAGTTTTAAAGGCTCTGGGATAAAAAGGACAGAAATTCAATGGCCTGCCTGTTTGCTTTTCCCCACCCTCTACCCACATCACTGATGTACTAAAAACTTATCACCTCTCTCTACAAACCTTACCTTGCATTCAATTTTAAAAATCAATGATCTGGAATAAACTGTAAAAATCACTTGCAATAAATTTGCAAAGGACATGCAGACTGCTGGAATAGTAAAGAATGAGGACAGGTCACTTAGAGCAATCTGGATCACTTCATGAGCAGTATTTTAATGCTAGTAAAATACAACCTGTATTTCCAAGAAAATATAGGGTAAGATGATAAGAGGATGATGTACCACATTTTTGAGAAAGACTCTGAAGAGGACTTGGCCCATAACAGTCAGCAGCCAAGGCAATGCTTCCACAAAAAAAAAAAAAAAAAAAAAAAAAAAAAAAAAAAAAAGATGATGCAATTTTTGAGGAAAAAGAGAGAAGGAGATATTCATCAGAGCAAGAGGATCACATTATGGCTCTATACAGTCCTGATGGATCACTATTGACATGTGGCATCTAATTCAGATGTCACCCTTCCAAATATTTCTGTACATGAGAAATACAGAGAAAAACATGAAGATTAATTAGTCTTGGATAACATTCACTGCCATAGGAAAGTTAAGGAATTCAGTACGTCTCATCAGAGAAAAGGTTAAAAGGGACATAATCATGATTTATAACTACACACAGGCAATTAGAAAAGCTGATACTACAGAGATCAATATAAGCAATCAAATGCATAAAAAGACCAAAATAACTTAAGGTGGAGCTAGAAATGCAAATAGAAAATCAAGTGAAAAATGTACCTGGGGTAATTAAGTATTGCAACAGGAGGTATGAGTGAATTCTCATCACTTGAAGACTTCCAATTAATATTAAATGCCTTACTAAAATACATATGTTCAGTTCAAAACAAAGCCACTGAATTTAACAGAGAAACTGCTGGCTGAAACTCAATGGTCTGTTGAATTTAAAAATAAATCCTCATTATGGTGCCTTATTTCCTTATAAATGTATGAGATTTTAAAAAAATATATCTACAAAATGAAAGGGAGTTATCAAGAAAAGGTGTCTTTTTCTTTCTGAGCACAGAAACATTTAAGGCTAGATTTAAAGCTAAATAAACTGCAGCTGCATTTTAGAAAATATGCTTCACCCCCTCCCAATTTTTCCCATTTCTTGTTCAGAGTTCTACAGTCCACTTAGTTGACTGTCTGATTTACATAATCATGTAGTTTTTCTTCAGTTTTTCTGTTCCTATTTATAAGCCATTCACAAACCATCCACTTAAGTAACAGCATGATTTATTGTAAGAATGATTATGGTTGTTTCAGAGGGAAAACGGAACGTGATTAAATGAAGAATGAACAAGGACAGTCTAGAACAAAGGGCTCTAATCCTGCAAATGGATTTGTAAATGAAACTTGCCTCTCAACCCCATTCCAAATGAACTACTGAGGGAATTCAGCAGATACCTTTACAACTGTGAGCCAAGAGCTTAGCTGAAGACACAAAAATTAAATAAAATAAATCAACTAACCAACCAATCAACCATGCCCACAGTATCTTCTGGAGAAATGGTAAAGCTCCCAGGGCCATCCACACTTAGGGAAAAAAATAATAAATAATGAACAGCATGTATACAGTTCCTGGAATGACCCTCTCAACACAGGTCTAAGCACCAAGTCTCCAGAGAGAGAACTGCAAGCAGACCTTTGCCCTTGGATAAGTTCCAGCATCTGAGACAAATGGATCAACCAAGGAAATGGCTGGGTATTTAAGCTGTGGATCCAAGAGAACACAGCTTTTTCTTATGCAGTAGATGCATAAGGTGCCACGGAGACCCTAACAACCCATACGTCTTACAGAGCTGGTGAACGGTCTAATGAAAGAGTATCAAAGTTCAGTATCTTCACCTGAAGTGCTTATTCTCTCCTATGGCAGAAAGAACAAGTGGTTAAAAAACCCTGTTTGCTTACCAGTTTACAAACCAGTTCCCTACCAGGGACAGCTGAGAGGCTCCACAAAGGAGGAGCTGTGTCACAGACCCACTTTTGTCAGGAAAAACAACCCTAAGATGAGCACGTGCACAAACCCAGCAATTGCTTTTAAACACTGTCTTAGCCCAAAATAAACAGCAGTGATGGAGCACATTCTTGCTCAAAGACAGATAACTCTGGTCCATTCCAATTGCACATAAGCCAGCAGGAACTTGGGAAATCCCACACTAATTGACAGAACTGCCTCAGAAATTCATATGGAGCTACAGAGCCATTCAGAACAGCACAAGAGCGTGCAGCAAGCATGGAGCCCAAGAAAATCAGCTTTGCAAGATCTGTGCTGAATATGTGTCAATTCCCACTTAAGTAGTCTGAGGAGCTGTGCATGGGCTAAGCTGAGGGAATGGTAGAAGGCACTGGTAATATGCCTGCTGTGGGGACAGCTGAGGTTACCCTGAACACTATGGTTTTTTTTCAGGAGGAAAGCACTGAACTTATTGTTTTCAGAAATAGCACCTTACTCCAGACAGAGAAAACCACCCCCCCCATTCTAGTGCAATTATTTAGATAAGAGCACTAATGAATACAGCTGAGACTGCAGCCAGCAGTAATGCCCTGGCTTATAGGAAACACTTGAGCTAAACACTGATACCTACTTTTAATGAAGAGTATTAGGAGAAGGCTGAGAAACTTTAAATTCCAAAGAATCCTCTAAGCTAAATATGATGCCTATGGATGCAACCAGGACCTGGGGTCTAGTATTTCTGTGATGCCTTTATGTCTAGGGGTTGGTACTGGTTTGGTTTCAGACTTGGTCTTGCTCACCAGAGAAATAGGATTTCTCAGGCCAGCTAAACCACTTTTTCCACAAGGACCAATTTTGCGAGGAGGGGCAATGGGGGTTTGCAGCTGCTGCGTTTTCGTAGCTAACACTGACTCTAAGGAAGAGCCACTGGCAGGTGTGTGGTCAGGCTTCCTCCAGTTTTCCTTGCCCAGCGGCTCTGTGTTCACCTGTGCTTCTGCAATGCATGGTGACCTATCGGAGGGTGGAGGCGGAGCTCTTCTTTTCTTTCCTCTGCTGTCATTAGGACTTGCAGTATCTCTTTTTGGGTCCAGATGCATGTTTTTCTGAACAGCCATCTCATGAGATCCATCAAAGAGTGACGCCCAAAGGGCAGATGCAGACTCTTGTTGCTGACCAGGAAGGAACTCACCATTGCTCTCTTCAATTTTCCTATGGATGATATCAGCTAAGCCCTCATGTTTCACTGGAGAATCAATGCCTGTAATTTTAAGGGACAGCAATTAACCCAGATTAAAACACCACCAATTATTTTACTTCTATCTATTTTCTTATTACTACTCAGAATACAAAGCTGTATTAACTGTCTCACCAAGTCTGAACTACTAAGAGTATTTATTAATGGATGAAATGGAAAATATTACATATGCTATCCAAGAGAGAACTGAGGTGACAGGAGGGAATTATTTTTGTGACAGCTGGCCTTGAGGCAGCAGGATAGGCACTGATATTTCTTTCCTAGTAAAAGAAAAAATAAAGTACTACAGGGAAACCTGTATGTATTAGTTATTAAATACATTTTGTTGTATAGTGCTTTGAAAATTTTGTTTCACAGGAGGCCCATGAAAGTCTGACTAAATAGTCTTGTGCTGCCAGCTTGTAGAAAATGGGACATCTTCACATATATAATTTTTCTCTATGTGCCTTAAGACTGCCTTGCTCCATTTCTTATTCTTCTTACTGGGTTTTCCACGTATACTGCAGTAGTACCAGCCTCAAACAGCAGTAGTACCTGATTTTCAATAGAATCACAGAACAGTTTAGGTTGGAAAAGGCCTTTAAAGGTCACCAAGTCCAACAGCTAACCCTGCCAAATCCACTACCAACCCATGTCCCTAAGCACCACATCTGCACATCTGTCTTTCAAATACCTCCAAAAATGGTGTCCCCAACACTGCAGCCTGTGCCTCTGCTTGATAACCCTTTCTGTGAAGAAATTCTTCCCAATATCCAATCTAAACCTTCCCCAGGCAACTGGAGGTTGTTTCCTCTTGCCCTATCACATTACTTGAGAAAAGGGACTGAGCCCCCCTGGCTATGCCCTCCTTCCAGGGAGCTGTAGAGAACCATAAGGTCCTCCCTGAGCCTCCTTTTCTTCAGGCTAAACACCCCCAGATCCCTTAGTCACTCCTGATCACATGTGTGGTCCAGACCCTTTCCCAGCTTCATTGCCCTTCTCTGGACACACTCCAGAGTGTGTCTGGAAATGTCTTTCAGTGTCTTTCTTGTAGTGAGAGGCCCAGAACTGAACACAGGATTTGCGGTGCCTCACCAGTGCTGGGTACAGCACTGATACTGAATTTGATACTACAAATTCTATATATAATCCAGGAAAAAAATTTAGTATTAAGGGTGAAATGGAGTTTGTGTTCTGCTCCTCACTGAGGTACATGTGTATCAGTGGAATTATGTTACCATGTTACCTTTGTAAAGCTTCTGTTTGGTTCATTTACTGCATTTCTGCTCTGCATTCACAGCTTAGATAAAACTTGACTGTTCAGTGCTCTGATGCATGGTAACTCAGTGACCCACATGGCATTTTGAGCATCATCACAGCTCCATCCCAAGCAGCAAGCAGGCAGGCATTTAGACTTGCACAGTGTTTCTCAGTCAATACTGCACAGGAGCCAGTAAAACAAAGTGACCTACTTTTTCTAGTCTGTAAATATTATTTCTGTAACAAAACTATTAAAAAAATCCTGCTGCATACCATTTTTCTCTGCAAAAATACAAGTCCCAGATACACTCTAGCTAGATTTTCCAAGCGTATTTTTCAATATCATTACCAAAGACCAAAAAAATTAGGTAAGTTATGCTAGGTAAGCCTTCAAATAGCTGTAAGAACAGCAGATTAATTTAATGCAATTGGTTTGCAAGCTGGACTATTTTACCTTTACATTTCCTGAGTTGTATACTACTCTTAGCATGAGTGTTTATTTCTAGTGACAGCTGTTTTGAGTGTGTTTAGGGTAGACTGCAGATTTTTTTAGCTCAAGGTATAAAAATGTATTCATTATTTGCATTATTACACATTCCCATTTAATACAAACTCCTTGGTATGCAGTTATGTTGCTCTTTCATTGTCTGAATTGTCCTTGAAAAACTCAGTGTTTCACCACCAACACCAGAAGCCATCTGAATTCAGACAATGTTGTTTCTGTTACTCTGCAACTTGAAAAGGCAAATCCCACTTACTCATATCATGGTAGACGGAGGTCGCTTCCTTTGTCAAGAACAAAGGTGGTTTCCGTGGTGACATAATCTCAATTTTCATAAGTTCCTCACAACAATGCTTCCACTGGCCTGAGAGAGAAAAGAGAACAATGACTGGAACTTAAACACATCAGCCTGGAAAAAAAATGGAAGTTACTAGGTTGTGTCAGGAAACTATCTCCAAAGTAATACTAAACAGTGAGAATTTACTTTTGTTTAGCAGGAATGCTCAGGATGTGTTTGTATTTTCACCTCTGTACTCATTCTCTTAGCACAAAGGTCATAAGATCCTAGCTGGAATTTAAGCCTCCCAGAATTATTATTACACTATGATAGCTAAAGATCATAATTTGTCTTCAAATCCCCAAACAGTATAAAACCAAGTGAAAAAAAATAGTAAAAATGTAAATTTGGGAAGCTTCATCAACATAATATCCTGCAACCTGGATGTTATACAGCAATGTTACAATGCTATGGCAAAGGAACGTTCTGGTTTTAATAGAGGATAACTTGCCTTTTATCCCTTAGCAGACAAGGAAACCTCTTTTTCTATTAATAGATTTTGACCTTAAGGAAAACAAGACACAGTAAAATTACTTTGTTCATACCAATCATTCCAAGTTTTCTGAGCACATTAATTTTAAGAGAATTTTAGAACCAGGGAAGAAAAAAGGCATTTAAATGCCAAGTGACCCATTTTTTCAGAATCCAAGGAAAATGTCTCAAAAAATCTGTGGGTCGTATTCTATCTATAATGAATAAGAAGTAGATATTTTACCCTACTCTACAGATAATTTAAAGAGGATGCCCTAGTTTTTGCTTGGTGTGTTTCTTTAATTGATAGTGCTTTTTCTCACTGTAAATCAAAGTTAGAAATTACTGGAAAATATGACTATGACACTGAGTTTCTACAACCTCAATTCAATTATTTGATTGGTGTTGTCTCTGACTAAAGACTGATATTTCATTAATTGACCTGGTTTTGTTTTCTGACCTGATAAAAATGCCTATCAGGAAGCAACTCTACTTTGTCAATAGCAGCATAAAAGCTGACAGTCTCTACTCTCAGTAAATCTGTGAGTCAAGCAGAAAGCAGAGAAAAAAGACACATGCAAATTAATCTATGTAATTTTTATAGTAAGGATTTGGTGATAAACAAGGAATACAGTATACTACTTCAACAGTATTTCACACCAATAAATGAGCTCCCTCTGCCATGTAAGATCAGGCTTGTTCCAGGGGTTTGCCAAAGGATCAGGGTAACACTTTAACACCTGTTACAAAGGCTGAGGTACAGCTTTTACCAGGTCCAGGTAAGCGGTGTGTATTTGCCCATCTGGATGGAGTGTGGCTGGGTGAGCGTATTCCCATGTGACCAGGGCTACCAGAACCTTTGAACTACAACAGAATCAAGCAATCCCCATTACAACAAACTGTAATTTAATTCATCCATGGCACTGCTGAGCAAGGAAACCCCAAGTTTACTTGTGACTTCTTCCAAGAGCTGGCGGAATCTGCATCCTAGCCAAGGCCCCACACGATTCCAGCATCCTCACCAACTGTCACTAAGGCTTCCATACTAGGATTTTATACTTGTAGGATCTCACCAAACCAACACACCACTGACTGGATGCCCAGGCAGAGGTGGACTCCTCCCACTACAGTGAGAAGGAGGAAGAGATAGTGAGAATTTATCAGTCTTTAAAAACATTATCAAGAACACTGCTAAGAGAACAAGTTTTTTTGAGATTGATGGACATATTCTGCCTCTGATTTCCTGCAAGAACACATGGACTTTGGTTTAGTCAAATATTTGCCTTCCAACGACTTAGACCACCACCCAGTGTTATCCCAGAGAATATATTTCTTTTCATTCCTGCAAACAAAGGCTTATGAGGCAATTCCAATTCAAATTGCTCAAAGATCCCTTTGATGTTACATAATGCTCCATTCAGAGGGCACAGTGCCAGCACTGCCTGCTTACTTACTCAGATCATAAAAGTGCTGCCAGAAAGCCTCCATCCACTGATGAAGTTCATCCCTACTGTCAGTAGCAAAACGTTGCGTCACACCCTCTCCAGACACGGGGTTGATAACAGAGAAGGTATTAGATCTTCTCTTGGAGTCCTTATCCACAGCTCGAATCCTGGTTTCCTAGGAACAACAAACTGTGGTAGTGACTTATTGCTTCACTTGACTGGCATCACCTTATGGCCAATGACAGTGTAAGGAAGGTAGAATTTGGCCTTTTGTCTACTTCAGATTAATACCCAATTTAAAAAAAAAAAGAACTAATGTCAAGAACAAATTATAAAAGTGTTTTCTCATAAAACTATTAAAATGGCATAAAACATGAAAAATAAGGGCATAAAGCACAATTATTGCAGTCCAGTCTGAATTACAGAATGTACTGTAATTCTGTGTTCCCCCTCTCTCTACCTTGACCAGCTCATCTCACACTGCTCACTATTCTCCACAGCAGTTTAGTGAATAATCTACAATAACAGCACGCAACTCCTTTTCTCCAAACAATTCAGATGGACAAGCACATTATTACAGCGACTATTTACACATCCTACTGCACTTCTGTGGGCCATCGTTTACCCACTACAATGTAAACTTGTATTGTATCAATTTAATGCTCATATTAGTGCATCAGGACTTTCAGGGTAATACAAGAGTGACAGGAAAATTAAAAAGAAATTTACTTAGGCCATCTTTAAGGGGGCATTTGTAGCAATAACCCATACAGTTCTACTAGAACAAGATTTTGCTCTAATAGAAATAAACTATTTCCCATTTTAAAATAGACATTTTTGTTTTAACTTAATTAGGAAAGGCTGCATAGAAATAATTAAATGTGTATATATATATCAAAAAAGTATAACACAAGTCTAAAAAATCTCTTCAGCTAGAGTTAGAAAAGCTCTCAGATTACACAGCAGCACTGTTAGGGTTTTTCCTTCTGTTCAGGGACATAGTTCCATGGCTCTAGAGTAGAACCAGTAGTATTTTCAGAGTATTTACCTTCTTATGGCATTACTGCAATTAAAAAAAGTTATGGCGTTACTACAATTACAAAAACCCCAAACCACTTATCCTTAACTTAGTGATTTTTTTGTGTGTGTGTAAAATGCTAAAAGCTTTAAGTCTAGCTAAAACACAACTAAAATAATTCCAGAACGCAACTGGTCAACATTGCTACTCATCACAACATGATGAGCAAATTAAAACAATTAACATTACTTTATTTACAGAAGTAAAGTAGAAGCCCTGGGAATATCTTTGCACAAGTAACTTGACCTGACTGAAGAAGCAGCAGCCCATTACAACACTGCTCCTCAGAGGATTTCTGGCATACCCAGGAGAGCAGAGCCATGAGTTTTGGCTCATGAGTTTTGGCACCAGCCGGCCCCCTGCAGCTGGGCCAGCCCCGGCGCCCAGCAGGATGTGAGGACATCACACACAGCGCGAGCATGCACTGCCCCCTGCCACACCAGGGTATCCCTGGCACGGGCAGTGCCCAGCATTCGAAGGAAGCCAACAATCTCAGCCAGGGCTGTGTTCTAACATCTCCTGTCTGGATGGACAGTGAATCTGACCACAAAGGTGGCTCCTCAAAATACAGTGAGGACAGAACAACCAGTTCCCTTCTACACTACTCAACCAAATGTCAAACATCTGCTAAAGACGTTAAACATACACCTACAGAAATTAAGTTTACGCATGGGATCCCATGGGGATAAGCCTAGTTCCGATACTCAGAAAAACAAGAGTTACTCTACAGACCATTCCCCAGATTTTAAATGCATTACTGAAGTAACCATTTGAAATACCAACAACTGCTTGTAGCATATCTGATGGATATGTTCATTTAAATTCTTCTGTCTAAAAATAGGAGATGAAGTAATTCATCCATCAGTGCTCTATATCCCATTAACTCAGGTAACCATAGATACCAGCAAAAAATGAAATCAAATAGATTAACATTTGACAGGTAAGAACTTCAAGCATACCATACACACAAGTTTATTTAATGATGTTTGCTGCAGGTTTTATCCCACAACTGTGGTATTATTCAAAGGAGATAAATCCTCAAGCAGCAATCTGTATCTGATGCTTGAATATTTCAGCAGTCATACAAGACGCCATTACAGCAATGGGCTGATGAATTTGTCAGGCTTGGGTGAATTACACGACATGCCCAGTTCCACTAAATAAAAGCAAAACCCAAAACAGCAAAAAGCTATTAAAAGCAAAACAAAAACAAAACAACCAGAAAAACCATCCCAAAAAACACAACAAAAAGTGTTTTAATTTACCATGTTGTAATAATATCTTTCCCAGTCTTATAAAAAAACTGAACCAACTCCGCTGTAGCAGTTGTAAAGACGAGAACAATCAGTGGATGGCAATAATAAAACAATTGAATCTTGAACTCAAGTGACTCTTCTGGGTAAGCTAAAGCGAGTTTTATATTCTTTATGCAAAAGATTGTTTCTTTGAAGGTGGGGAAAGACTAAGAGGGAAAAATACATGGTATTTACATATTTGTAAATACCAACCTTATTCTATATTTTTCCCCACAAATAAAATCTCTTTGCCTGATAATACCTCTCTGAAAAGCTCATATTTTAAGCTAAGAAGAAGACACAGGGATAGTGAGAACTTTTTTACTGCTGAGGTACAACATGTTCCTGATAAGCCAGTCTTGACAGCCTATGAAGCACTGGTTATGAAGACCATTTTAAGATATCAAAACAAATTACAGTTCTTAAAAATATTGAATACCCTAGAGCCTCAGTTCTGTGTATCTATTTAAAGATTAAACAAATCAAATCACATATAACAAACTCTCTTTGTGTTTTTAGTACAAAAAAAATAAACCAAACTGAAAATCAGTACAACACTGGAAACAACTATAACCTGTACATGCATTGGTTTCTGTTGTAATATTAATAATTTCCATGAAATTTGTTTTAGGCAAGCAGGGAAAAATGGTTAAATTTCTAATTATAGCTTTCAAACACATTAATTGACCAAAATCTATCAGCTAATATTTTGTCCCTTCGTTGTTTTGTCAGCTTGTACTAATGTGACATCCTCATGGCCACTGGCTGGTCAGTACAATGTGTATGACATGGATAAGCAATATTAGGATATCAGTGCCATTGTTCTTGGGAGCAATGCAGCAGCTGAAAATGTGGAAAAGGAGATAGCAATGAATGACCAGCAAGCATTTTGTGAAGCAACAGTGAGCCAATAAAGTAGCTTTCAAAGTGCTCAATTTGAGCACGGTGTGGTTCAAGGATCTGGGTGTTCTACCTGCTTCCCCTGCCTGTATCCACAACCTCTTTCAAGTAACTACAAGACTAAACTGAGCAATGAATTATGAAATACTAGACATTTGGAGGTACTTAACTAGTCTGTGCTTTTCCAACATATTTTTACATCTAGGAAGGCTCTTCCTAAGCCAGCTAGTGGGATAAAGTCCTTACTACAGAGAATACAGATATTTTCAGGGCTTATCTAATTTCCCTTTGCTGGAGTTCCCCAACACATATAGTGAAGATTGCTCGTGTTGCTGGCTCCCTAAAAGCTCACATGGTCTAGAACTGACATCCACATTCCTCTGCTCCAGCCCAAGGATGAACTCCCTGCTTCCCAAGAAATATGCATGGCTCCCTTGAAGTTACGCTGCTGCAACCATCGCCACATTTTCCAACCAAGTCCCGTACCTGATCTAGCCAGAACAGCTGTACCACCAAGGACTGTCATTCAAGGTAATTCCAGACTGATTTTGTCCCTCTGCTCCTGCTGCACTGATCAGCAGTGCTCCCATGACCCTGAGCCTGTGGCTGCAAACCCTTGCTCCTCACCCTGCTCCCCTCAGTGATCAGCACGGGCACAGAGAGAGCCCTGGGCCTGCTGACTGCAGGGCCCTGGGACAAAGACTGCACAGACAAAATATACCAGGAAGGAAACTGTGGGACTACAGCAATTTGATGCAAGAGCCCAGAATCCCTCAAGCTTCAGGCACTGATGGCATAAAAAGATTTTTAATCTATGAACCAAACACAGTAGATTATGTATTCTAAACACTGAGCAACTAACGTGAACTGCTGGCACATGCACCAATTTACTAAGCTACCACATGTAGGCAAGGCCTTGATTTTTCATTTCAAATTAAAGAAAACTTGAAAAAAAATCAGGAACTGGACCATAAAGAATATTTCTTCAAATTGGATTCCAGTAAATTTTCTTTGCTACAGAAAATATCATTTCTCTTTTCCTACTTAGTTGTGCAATATAATATGTTATAATCACATTTAGCTGGAACAATAACAGTAGCACTTGCATAATAGGAACTGCAGAACCATTCTTGCTCAACAGCAGCAGCAATGAAGTCATCTAAAGTTGAAGTAATGACTTTGCTGGTCTTAATGGCTTCTTCAAGTCTCAATTCAAAGGGAATTGGAAATACAGCTAACGGTGTGAACATTTTCCAGAGAATTTCTCATAAATCCAGATGATTTCATTACTTCTCAGAAAGTATCTTTAAATTACATGTAAAGGATCAGCTTCATGTTACAAATGAAAATGCCACATATGCAACCCTAAGAGATTTTAGTTAGGATGTGTAGAGGTGATGTTCAATCTCAACTTTCACTTTGAAATTGCTGTTTCTTTAACAACATGTAGCAGACAAATCCATACGATTAATCTGCTTTCATTTAAGCCAGAAGAGAAATTTCATAACAAAGGAATCAAAAAACATCTGCAGGCATGAAGTTATTTTCAAGAGAAACTGTTTAAGTAGTAAAGGATCCAAGTATGTTTTCAATAGCATTTTCTTTTTTTTTTTTTTTAATTTCCATTCAAGAAGCATTCACAATCATTCTCCAGCAGCCTGATATCTTTGTAAAATGGTGTAAGATACATAAGTCATGTACCTTTTACATGTTAGCTTTAAGGATACCCTGCAAACATAAGGACAGTCTCTCAGCAAAGGCTTATCAAGCTGGATTTTAGGTTCTGAGTGCATTGGTTACTGAAAGGAGCAAAATATCTTAGTACAATACAGTTATTTTAAAAGGAAAAGCAGAATTAGGATTTAGACTAAAACAGAGAACCCCAAGGAAAGATATGAGGTAGCCTGATAATTTTAAAAATATTCCTGTAATGTTTTAGAATTATTTAGTCATTCTATAATTTACTAAAGTTTACCATTGCTTAACTGATACTGAGAACAGCTGGAAAACAGAATTATGGCAGAGTCTGACTTAGTGAAATTGAAAGAGACTGAAGAAGTAAGCCTACTTAAATATATATCACTGTATAAATATTTATTTAGTGTAAATATATAAACTGTTGGAAGAAAAAATAGCACTAGAAAACCAGGTAATTTTATTTAAGGAATCAATTTAAATCTTAGCAATTAGAAAAAACATCCTAACAGAAGCAGGTCACATTGTTATAACCCATTTAAATGTGTGGGTTCTATAGCAGTCCCACTCTGGACAAGAATGCAGTCATCTCTCCCAGGAACACTCAAGGCACCCAGGGCTGATTCTGCTGCTGTAAGAAGCGTTCTGTGTCACCCCATGTCCCCACATGTTCCCAGCCACGGCTGAGCCCCATGCTCACACCACACAGGCATTTGTGCAGCCGTGTATGAGCGGGGTAAGAGAAGTGAGGAAGGCAAAGGCAGAGGGGCAGAGCCTCCTGCTGCCCCACCAGCTGCCCTGTGCCCGCCTGGCAGCCGCAGCACAGCCGGCCCTGAACGCTCCTCTGGGGATCTGTGCTGGCAGCGAGCGCCTGGGGCAGCGCAGCAGCAGCACCCTGGGCTGAACACAGCCTCCAAATGTGGCTGCTTACTTAGGTAACATCAACCCAGCTGTGCTATTGCAAATAACGTTTAACTCCTCTGCCCACCCTTATGGGATATTAACCCTTGATGCCTGCACCAAAACCAGTTTTTGAAAGCATCTGTTCTCTCTAATGCTTGCCGTTCAAGAGGGTCCTTCCAATAACATTACTAATTTAAATATTACTTCAGATTAATTACTGTTTCTTTGGCCAAATAGTAAGCAACATTTTAAAATTACATTTTAAACTCAGGTTTTTTAATCAGGGCATGAACAACAGCAATAATATCATCCTAGAGAACAGAGCTTCCAAAGTTATTATGCTCTGGACAAAACCAGCATTAAGAAAAGCAGCTTATTTTAAGGCACTAAAATATTTTGAAAAATTTTCCATTTCTCCTTCTAATTAAGACTGTGGCCAAATAACACGTAACAACAAAAAAGCTTTTGTTGGAATTCCACCTTGCTGAGGACAAAAGTCTACCAGAGTATTGCTAGGGGACTGTAAGCAATACATTTCTAAGGGCTGTCTTACAGAACTGTGATATAAAAGGTTATTACTTTTCCTATAGAAAAACACCCTCCTTTTTGCTTCTATGCTAACCAGTCTAATGCAATAGAAGGAATTTACATCCACAGCTAAGGAATGTTATGTTCCTGCTGGGGGACTGCAAATTTCCCTGAAGTACATCCCACCCTCATTCTACTTATAAAACATTCTGCATACCAGCTGCTTAGAGCCCAAATGACTGCACATATTTCCTAAACTAAAAAGAACGTCCCCAAAATAATAAAATAAATTTTAAAACCCCAACAAAAGAAAAAAGAAAACAAACGAAAAATATCCCCATACAACCAATTTTACCTTGTTGATGGAAACTGTCAATGCTGGCTCCACTTTATCCTCAATTTCTTCTGGTGAGTAATAACAAAGGAGTTTGCCACCTCTCAGCACGCAATACAGCCTCCTCCAGCTTGTTAGACCTCCTACCATTTGCTAAGGGGAAGAAGTAGTCAGAAATTGCCAGACATACACCTAAAACAAAACCATATTGCAAGGTGCACACATATCAGCCCTGAGTGATCAGAATTTAGCCAAATTCATGAACCAAATTCATTCCTGCAGCTTTCTGGTGCAAAGACTTCCTGTTGCGGAACATTTCAATCACTGATTTCTGAAATGTTAGCAGTACTTTAAATGTCTTCTGGTGTTTTACAGTTTTTGCAGACTTGCCATGTGACACTAATAGTACAGAATCTGCTGGTTCACACAGAATGAAATTGAGATCTGGTGTCTAGTGTAAAAAAAAGAAAGCACCTTTATTAGCTACAGCAATTGCACAATAATAGAAATAAAACGAGTATTTCACTTTGGAAATACACAGTACATTGAACAAATGTTAAGAAAAGACATTTGTCTAGAATTTCCACTTTCTCAAATGAATTTTCTGAACAGCTTTCATAAAACCGTAACAGTTTCACAACCAGTTTAAAGACTGTAATTCAGCACTCCTGACAAATGATGCAGACCCTCTGGCCCTCCACTATCACCTTCTCACTTGCCTATTTGTGCAACAAACAAAAATACAGAAGTAAAGTGAGTTCACACGAATCATTTCTGAAGGGATGAGTTTAATATGGCTCTGTTCACCAGCCTGATTCACCATGCTGTGATAGAACTCTTGTGGCAGCACAACGAGGATGTTCAAGGATGAGAGCCACAGGATTATTAGGACTGATGCCGTCAAGTACCACTGCAAACTAACTCTGAAACAAGAGTTGTACTTAACTTTACTAACAGCCTACGTCATTCATGCCAAGGAAACATTGATTTCTCCATGCTCAGCCACTGAAGGCACCTTTTGTGAATGTAGCTGTGAGAGAGTTTCCCCCTTGCTCTAGGTAGAGCAGGTAAAAAACAACAGTTCTCAATACACCACTTCAGGTAAAAGCAAATGTTTTAACAATTGACTCTTAGTGACAGCTGTAAACAGCCCAGGATGCAAACACAAGCAAAGTCTCCTTACCTGCTGATTTAGAAATCCTGCCATCATGTCCCTGGCCATGCAGGAGGGCTGGACAACTAAACGGCAACACATGTTTCCGTACAGGGGTAGCCAAAAAGAGGATTCCTCTGGGGGAAAGGAAAAGGCAAAAAACAGACAGACACTCAAATCTGAAAAATTGTCTTAAACATATAGTTGAGCTTTCTACATCTGTTTTTACATTAAGATCCTGAGTGTAAATAAGCATGTTTTCGTATTTTGAGGAATTAATGTGGGATTATATTAAAACTGATTTTTAGTCTTCAGGAAGTGTTTTTTAATTGAAAATGTTCATAAATTACAAAATAATTTCAAGTAAAAATGGCAATATTGTTCTGCAAAACAAGTTGTTCTTGCATAAAATGTAGCTCATTTCAGAGCTAGAAACTCTTGAAAGGTAAGTATGCTGGCCTTCTCATGTCCTGTGATCCCTGAGTCCATCCCATTGTGGCACACAGCTGTATTTATACACAAGCACTTTGCTTCAGATTGTTTTAATAAGGCTTGGAATTTGTATCTACTTTTGCCTTCAGCACTAGAGGAGCTAATTTAGGGTTCCAAGGAGTTTCTAATGAATTGGAATAGCTCAGCTCCACTATGCAATAGGCTCTCTTCTGTAATTAGAAGTAGGTAATGCAATGTTCCATTAATGTGACGCTGTCTTTGGTCAAGGTTTAGAAATGCTTGTAACGAACCAAAATGTCCAGGTATGTCCTTCCTCACCAGACTAAATTATGTAAATTAATGTCAGAAAAAGGAACTTCAAGAAGATATAAAGTACTAATAAAGAAAGGCTTACAAATAGCAAAGGTACTCAGAATTATTCATCCAACACCTCAAGAAATAAATGCTCCATAAATCTTCAAACCTGTACTTACTCAGAATTACTGAAACATAAAGAAGGAAATTCCCTTTGAGGTGGTGTTTATCCCAGTAAATCATTTAAGTTCCCAGAAGCAACAGTGAGAGTTCCATGTCTTAAGAACTGGAGGATGGCTTATAGGAGGAGCTATCCTTGCAGAAAATAATGGACAAAGTACCAAAAAGTGAAAATACCACCATCAGTTGCAGTATAATCAGTCCTTCACAGTGTCAGCATCCAGCATAGACTGCAAGCACACACCCTTACATCCTGTGTTAAATCTGGGCCTCAAACAATCTCACAAAACCAAAGCAATTTTTCTCCTTCTGACTACAGAGGAACAAGCTGTTCTTCATTCTGATACCCTTCCTTGATTGTGAGGAAGGGGAAATAATTTGTATATAACTCCAACTCACATAAGACAGAGATACAAATGACAGAAGAAACTCCCAAATGAATTAAATTTTCATCTGGACTTGAAATTTTACTCAACATATAGTTTATTCAGCTGTGTACAGATGCCTGGTTTAGAGCCGTTAAATATTTTATTAAAGTTGTTCTATATTGAGTATCAAGAAAAATAATCTCTTTAAGCTCTTTAGTTTACAAGACTTTAATGCAAAATGTTACTTTTTTTTTATTGCCTTAAATTGATACCATATGTACTTACCATTTCCTGTAATAGTAAGGTTGTGGGTCCTGAAATTATCCTCAGCACTTTCCAGGCCCAAAGTGGTGTATGCTAGCAAACCGTACTTTGCTCCACTAGATGTGAAAGAAAAGGCATGTTTAGGACATTTCTGCTTCATGTTGCTTGGGCAGTAATTAAAGGGAGTCTAGACATGCCTGAGAGACCACATTTCGGAACAAGGAAACATCAAGGTGCAGGGCAGGACCTGTCAGTGACCACAGATAGACACCTCCAACCTCTTCCCACACAACTCCTGTATCTCTGGTTCTCCTTGTAGACACTGTTCAGTCTGTTCCTCTCCTTCTTAGATCCTTATCTCCTGCCTCCATGTGTGTACCTCCAGTTCCTCCCACCCCACAACTTCCAGGCCAGTGCCATCATTCATTGCAACTCTTTCTCTTGCCTCCTCTCTGGGACCTGCTGGCCAGGAGACTTCTCATGTGGTCACTGCCTATGAGCTGGGCCAAACACAGGAATACAGACTGTGCTATCCAAACCCTCTGCACCCTCTGGATGCTCAAAACACCTCTCTCCTCTAGTCACACACCAAGTAACTTTCAATAGTTTTACAGCTCTTATTACTAGGCCTAAAGCAATTAGATTTGGTAATAGGTTCAAAAATTCCTAAAGTTAATAGAACAACGGATGACAAACTTTATCTGAAAATACAGGTTAAAAATTAAAAGGCATTATAATGCTTCTCCACGTTGCTGTGCTCTTTGCTTTGCCTATGCTGGCTACACTTTATAAACCAGTTGTTTATGTATGTATTTTTAATAGGATCCAATAGATTGATTATTCACAGGCAGAAATCTGTCAAGACATCCTATGGTCAGTTTTGTAGCAGAAAGGATTTCTTTTCACTTATTGGACTTAAGAGGTTTCAGAATCTTTTATCTTAGTTTTGTATTTTGCCTAGGGAAAAAAAGTATCACTCTTACAATTCAGCACAGTGCAATTGTGGAATGCAGTTCTTGGAATAAACTGGTATAAATTTAGTACATTAACCTTTTCTCTAAAATACTCATCGGACCAAGTAACAGATTTATAGTCCAGCAATGCAGTAGGAATTTCACCTGGCTAACGGCAGTTAGAACAAAGTTCACAAGAAAACAAACCCCTCCAAATCACTAACTACTCTCCCAACAGGATCTAGCATAAGATCCTTAAAATATCTTCAGTAGAACATCAGAAAGCTTAGTGGCGTAAAAGCTGAGAAGACACCATTGAGCTAAGATCATCAAGAATAATTTTCCATCTTAGTATTATTCAAGTTTTATTTTTCTTACTAGCACAGTGGGAACATACATTTTTCTGACCTTTGGCTCTGTGGATAAATAAGGAGAGTGTCTATGTCCCCCTAACCCTAACGAAAGAGGAGGAGGAAAGGTAGGAAGTTTGTTAGAGGGGAGGTCTGTTAATATCTGCCTCCAGGGAACAAAGAGAAAATTAAATAATATATAACGTCCTAGGTGAAAAACCACTGCTATCAAGTACTTCAAGAGGGAAATCTGAACAAAAAACTCATCAGAATTTGTATATATTCCTGCTAAGCTGTTCCTTAACAAAAGATTCTTCACTGATTATGTTTGACCATGCAGTTGAGCAATGCATTGCCATTCTATTTAAACTGTACCAAAAAGTTCAGTTTCTTCTCACAGATAAAACTGCTGTGCTGATTCTAAAGTTATTTTTTTTCTAAAGCATGACTAATTACTACAACAACGTTGCCAAAAAAAATAGCTACTTCACTTTTAAAATATGCTCCTCAGTAACATTTTAATTCTAAAATACAAGTCATTCCTTTCAGGCAGCTGCAATATAATTTAGGAAAGTTTTATCTACAGATATTTTTCAGATTTAACTGGCTAATCAGGATTGTTGACTGTGTTTTTCCTTTGCATTTCAGAGAATAACTAACTGCCTTAAATGGCAGTTTCTCTGTATAACAAAGAATAATCTGCCTGCTGCATCTCATTCAGTACTTTGCATATCTGTTGTATTTTCCCATGTAACAACTTCATAAAAAAAAAAAAAAAAAACCGCAGAAAAGCAGCTCATCTCCACAACATGCCTGTAGCAAAGGCTCATTGTTAAGTCTGTTTACCGATCAAGAGACAGAGCCACCCAAGTTTCCACGCAGAGCTGGGTGTGGCAAGGTGTAATTATAACACACTATCAATGTATGTTAATTAAGACATCTTCAATTCCAGAATCTATTCCTGAATATTAAACCAAATGTTAGAAATCCCAATCTTAGTCCATTCATTCAATGTGAGTGAAGGAGCAAGTAGAAGACTTGTGAAGTAAAAAAAAAAAAAAAAAAAAATTCAATATGCTCAACATTTAATCAGATCTTATGAGATCTTAAATAATAGAAGGTAAAACCAAATATAACCTTCAGGTGCTAACAAAAACTCAACCATCAAAGAGGCCACCAGATTAGACTGTGTACTTCCAGCAAAATGTCACTGGGGATTTGCCAAATCAAACACAGGACATGAAAGCTGCTGCACCTTCAGCCCAGTGGAGGACAACATATCAAACAACAACCAGGACACACAAAGGCCAGTTCTGCAAATGAGTAAACAGGCACTTAGGGAGACTCTCCAGTGATTTATCCAAAGAGCAAGCCAGTTATACTGGAATTTAATAGCAAAACTGCACTTAAAATTTTTCTTCTGAAAAATGTAAAAAAGAAAAAATATTTAAGCTAGAATTGAAAAACTAAGCAGACAAAAGACTGCTAAATGAGAAATAATTAAGAAAGAATATCAGTAAATTTCAAATTAACTAACTTAAGCAACCAATCAAGCCCTTTGTCACTAAGCTTTTTCAAGAAGTTCCAAGTCTGACAGTTTCCTCACTAACCAGAAAGACTTCTAAGCCAAGAAGTTTGAAAGAGAGGGATCACAGAGTTTTTGGAAAATGGAGAATTTCACTCATGTGTGCATTGGAAAGAAAAAGGCTTGTACAAATGAAATCTACAGAGAAAAGGTGTTCGCATAATATAGAAAGTTCACTTTTTTGTTGCAGTTTAATTTCCCCTGCTGGACTGGTAAAACTCTCTGGGAATACTTGAAAGATCTCTTGTAATCTTACAGTCTCTTCCCTTTTATAAGGGCTACATACCAAGGTCTAATATAAATCCTTGGAGGAAGCTATAAAAAAACTGACAACTTATTTTCTGCCTATAATAACCCATTTATTTCCAAACAACTATTTTAATCATCCAGCAATGCCATCATTTAACACTTCATTGTTCATTTAATTGTGTTAAGAAAATAATAGTCACTGTGAGATGATTATCTACAGTACAAACAACAAACTTCCAAGATGGAGGGAAGGAAAATTCAATTGAGAAACCAAAAGCAAAACCCAGGGGAGGAGGCAGCTGTTTAAATTGCCTACTGGTGCTTTTTCCTTAAAAGACAGGCAATCTATACCGAAGCAAAGAAGCCAGTGGTTATATCTGATTCAAACTGTGTCTAATGATAGTGTCTCACGGCTCAGCTGAAGCTGGTGGAAAGCACAGCCACCTGACATGATGCAGACTGAAAAATGTATTGTCATTAGGTGGAATCCACTGCAAAGTCAGTGATAAAATTTGTTTTATCTGTGGATAAGATCTGTTGGATGTCTATTTTTGAGTCAAACAGAAAAATCAGTTTGCAGTTATATCAGTTCAACAAAGATAGAATATGCTTGAATGTTTCCTTGTAAAATCCCAGCAAATAGTCTAGATATGAAACTAGACTAAGACTAAACACCCAGCAAGAATTAAGCATTGATTCTTTACTGTCGGCCACCAAAAAAAAAAAGAGGAATTCCTTGAAAAAATTTCTTTCTAAAAAAAGTTAAAATAAATAAAATAAACCAATGCTATTAACATTTGCAAATTAGGTATTTGGCCTACTTAAATCCCAATGAAATTGAAGTAGCTGGAAAATATTAGTAGGCAGTTAATTTTTAAAAGGAAACAGGTAAATTATTGGGAAAAGCATTTATGCCTACGAATACTGAAAAGCAGTTATGTAATTTTAAAATGTCCTGTGCTAAAGTCAATTCAGAAATCTCCTGCTAAGTAGCCTGTAACTATAAAGTGCCTTTGGCAGTGCAGAGTTTTACTGAAAAGCTAGCAAGTGGAATTAGGGAAGAGGGTACAGGAGTGTTTTTTTCTGCCTACATACACAACTTTTCCTATTTCACACAATTTGTAACTTTTACACATATCTACCTGTCAATTATGAGCAACACTGGCTAGGTGCAAAAATAGTATGGGGGCAGAAGTAAACGGGGAAGAGGAAAGGAGGAGAGGTAGATGGACAGAGAGACACAGACAGACTGTACAAGTTCAACTTCCTCTAGAGATCAAACTAAAAATATTATGGAGTTTGCAAAGAACAGTGGATTTACCAGCTGGCTGGCTGTGGAGCACAAACATAAAGGCTGCTTGTGTGTTTCAAGATCAGAACCAGGCCCCAAGGCTCAGCGACATGGTTGGAATTCACACCTACTTTCTCATTTCCTATTTAAAATGTAAATTTTTTTTCACTTGGGCAAGTAGAGAAAAAAAACAGTTTCTTGGCAGTTTGCCAGAAATTTACAATTATATTTGGCCTATTTCTATTTTAAAAACTATAAAACCAGAACATCAATATATGTGGCTTACTGGATGACTGGGTCAGCAGGCACAAGGGGTTCAGTGCTGTCTTCCTCCAGCGCAGCTTTGAGTTTCTTCCCTGTAGCTTTGCTGAGGGATGTTTTAAGTTTCTTTGCCAGTTTCTTAGGAGTGTTTGTTATATATAAAGACTCCTCTGTACAGCAGCTATACACTTCAACCTTCACCTGGAAATCTGGGCTTGCTTCATCACTGAAGTGGGGGAGGAGAAAATTTTAGAGCATTTGTTAGCAAACTGCGTATGGAGCCAAGGAATGCTGCTGCTTCTGCTTTATAGATTAAATAATAAATTTCTAATCAAGGGAAGGAATGCCATCAAATTCAGGCACAGATATACATTAATATGGAATTAAGGACTAGAGTACACAGTAGTAACAGTACTGGGGTCATGAGATGGATAACTGCAGCATAAACAATTACAAACAGGAAATTCAATATTTAGGTTAAAAACGGAAAAAACACCCACATTATGGAAATACACAGGCAAGACATTCAAACACACTTAAATCTGCCCTCTACTGTTACACAAAAATCACATGATTGAAAACCTATCCCTGAATATGGTCCTAAATCAGATTGAACTGTTTAAAAGATATTTTATCTGCACCCCATCCCCTTCAAATTACTGAAAAAAAAATGCTATCTAATAAAATCTGTCATTTACAACTGAACTACCTATTGCTGAATCCTCTGGCTCACAATTTTTCTGTTTTCAGCTCTCTGATTGTCTTGTTCTCAAGCTTAGTCATCAAGCCAGAAGCCTAACCTCATCTTTCAGATACAAATCATGCCATTACACACATGCCATAATGAAATAGTCTTTCTATGCTTTGTGGGATACAAGGCAAGTTAGGGTGCCTTTTCTGCTTTTGTTGCAGTGCTTCACCGAAAATTATAATGGTTAAGTTTCATAACTTTGAAGAAGCAGATTTAAGTCTTTATCCCCACTCTTAACTTGAACAGGTGTTTAAGAGAGTTTAAAATTTGTTTTAAAATCACTTTTCGGGAGTTTAATTTAAAGTTTTTAGTATTTAAAGTTTCCCAGTCAGTCTTCCTCAGGAGATGGACTCTAAATCATTGACATAAAAGTAAAGGCAGGGAGTGGAGTCAAGCACATGCTCAGGTAGGTGTAACAGAGATGAGGTGTTACATGAGGAAAGAGACTGTAACCTGCTGGACAGGATAACAATGAGGTGCAACATTTACACCTATAATATCATAATGCTTGAAGGTTTTAGCATTAATTTAATGCTGTCCTTGAGATGTAAGGTGTTTATTTCTTTATATAAAGAAAAATGCTTCAGCAGGGCAAAAATGAAAAGAAGCACAGATCAACTGTCACATCTACAACCGGCATCATTTTGCACAAAAAAACCAGCCTTCCAGAGATGGGGATCCTCCACCCACTAAAATGAACAGAGCTTCTACTGATTCCTTTGCCCACAGCAAAACCTAGTGGACCTCAGCCAAACTTAATCATAATCACATCCACCTGCAAAAGAAAACAGCAATATTTGTACTTCATTCAACATAAGTAAATTATACTCACAATATGGTTACATTTTCAAAACAGATATCTGTTATTGCTTCATCCACAATAATCACCTCAGTATCAAAAACCTCAGCTCCCATTCTGAACAAACAAAACACTGCGTAGCGCTGTGATTCTGGAGGGAGTCACAGAAAACTTTTATCAGCACATCACAATACTAAACACTGCCAGTAATCAAACTATACAAAATGGTAATTCAGACCTCTAAGGAATTGCCCTCAAATTCTTCCCACCAGAATTTTTAATCACAGGATTTTATGATAATTGACCTATCAAAGCTGCTGTATAGGTAAGAATAACATACACAAAGGGGAAAAAATGCCTACCTCTATTAGGAGAGAAAAAAAAAAAGTTGAGTAATCAGGTATAGTGTCTGCTAGCAATTTCAAAAACGTTTAAAAAAGTGTAATTTTGTTTAGTAAAATTGACTTTACACAAAAAAAAATAACATTTGATCCAAAGTCTGTATCATTTTATGAACGTGCTACATAGGATTAGACTATTTTGCCATGCTTTGCATCTCTGACCCAATTGAAAATCAAAGTGAAATCAATGCCAGGTGACAGCTGGAACAGATTTAGGATTAATCTCCATGACACAGCAAAATGCATGTACTTGAAGGCTATCCAATAATACCCTCAACACCAACAGTCAACTTTCATTTAAATTACTCATTGGAAACAGCCTCCAATATGCTCTCTCAAGTGCAGACAAGACATAGAACAATGTGTTTAATCAGAAGTTTCTCAGTTAACCATTTCATACAACATTCTTCTGTTGCTTCCTCTGGAATTCTTCCTCAGGTGGACTCTTAAGAGAGTAGGGTTTAAATAAAGAACCACAGGATTGAACTAACTCAGCTAACTACAACCAGCAACTTCAAATTACAAGCATTTACACAAGAAAGAGTAAAATACAGACCTAATGAAAGGTCAAAAAAGGGGTTGAAATAAGTATGAACTTCCTCATTCAGTTTAAATTTACAGGCATAAGCAATTGCTTATCAGAGTAATTAATTACATCTTACATACTTTCTTTTTTGCTGAAGTGGTCAGAGCCTTTCCACATTAATGGTATTCGAATATCTAAAGGGGGGAAAAAGAAGGAAGGGAGATTAAGTTACAGTCAATATTGTAAATGTGCAATCAAAACAAATTACAAAAAGTGTGTTGTTTCTTTTTCTGATGTTCTGGTGGTAACAGGGCCTTCCACCCAATGAACAGCATAACTATTTCAAGATTATTACCCACATCAAAAGAAAATGCAATAATTAGTTCAAAAGCATCATTTCTGTTTAGAAATTATGCTAGAATAAAGAATATTTTAAATCTCATTTGAAAGTACCTGAAATAACATTTCAGAGAAGTTGTGTAACATAGTTCTGAGAGGTATTCTCTGAGCCCATTATTATGCACAGATGTAAACCAAAATCCTGCTTACCTTGTGCTGAAAACCACTCATCCCACTGCAAAGGAAAACCTTCCTGTTTTAATAAAAAGATTGGGATACTTATACTGCAAACACTTCAGTCTTGTTTTGCTAACCACAGAGAAAATACCTCTTGTAATCACATCCCAGTGAGAATTGTCTTAGTCAGCATAAAAAGAGTTTAGAAGTCTATTTTCTTTTAACACAAAAATATCCTTCTACTTCAGAACCACAGCAGAGAGGTAATTATGAAGCCATTATTTTAAATCATGCCTGTCATTTTAATATTAGGGATGTATTTTCTTCACTGAATTTTCCAATTTATCTACTAAACTCAACACAGTACTAAATTACATTTTTCTCCATCTTAGAGGACTCAGGTGAAGACATAATGTTTTTTATTAGTCCCCTGTTAAAAGACAAAGCTGTGAGGGCTTTATAAATCCAAATCTGATTTCTGAAGTACAAGTGCTGTTTAAAAGTATATGCAATATATTAAGTGACACATGATGGCAGCAGTGAACAGCATGAACTCGGTTGTCTTGTGACAAAAATACTCAATATTGTTATAAAGAAGCATTGCTGACTCCAATGTTGTCTTCATATGAGGCTGATGGAAAAATCCACATTCATTATGCTGATGCAAAATAGTGCCAGTATTTTGGCATCAGACAGTCATGTATTCCTACAGGGGTTTACCCTAAAAACTTGTTAAGTGAAATCACATATAGTCATTCTGTCTCAGAAGTTAACTGAAAAATTCAAATTTCAGTTAATTTTTATAATGAGACATCTTACTATAAAAGCTGTTTCAATACTGAAACTTTCAAATTCATCTATTTTTAAGTGTTCATGAAAACAAATGAACTTTCAAGTGAACTACCAGCATACAGCTTTAGACTTCTAACTTCCTAAAAATCAATACATCACCATGTTCTGAAACTGCCTTTCACCTCTAAAGATGCATTTGCATAGCAAGCATTTCTAAAAATAGGAGGTTTTACACAAAGAGAAATAGTTTTATGAAAATCATTACAGAAGTCTATCTTAAACTTTTTAAGATATATATTCATCTTTGTCAGAGACAAAGCACAGAATGTTTCTTTCCTAAAATACAAAGGTCTCAAATACATTCATATGTGAAAACAGTTACAAATAAAAGCTTTTTCTATCTTTAATCATAGCAAACTCTGAATGACAATTTTAATGCGCTCAATAGACCTTGTTAGCAATTAGAGTTAACTAGATTAAAGATTACTTCTGTATGCCACTTCCAATATCCTGCAATGTGAAAAATTTACACCTTGGTCAGAAAATCATCAGGGTATAGACAATCAATCCTGGAACAAGTTTAACATGATACTTGTAAATCAGCTTTCAATTCATTCTTGGACTGAAAGAGCTGTCATTTATCAAAAACAAAGATCAATTTTCATACACCTTAATTTCAGTTACCATTAGCTGTAAATCTGTGTAGATGCAAACTGAATACATTCAAATACTACAATTAATCAAATTTGAACCCAATGATTCCTCTATAAAATTACTTTAAATTATGATAATGCTTTTTTCATCAACATTTGATGTATTATCTTCTGACAAAATAAATCGATTGGTACAATAACATAAATTACAAAATTTATTCAAAAATATGGAGGCTAAGTAAAAATGATAGAAGTGTGAAAAACTGTGGATTAAGGAATACACTTCCCACACAGTATCTGACATAGCTGCTTTCTGTAGGAGCATATTCCTCAGTAGTCCTGCACAGTTCTTCCCAAACTTTTGCAGTTGGTCACGATTGCCCTACTTTTTTGGTAATCGTCATCTGGCATGCACTAACTATATGACACGCTAATAAATTTATAAGTGGATGCATTACTGAGGGTAGAAAATCAGGTGACCTACAGAAAGAATCAATCAGCAGAGGCCAAGAACAACATTTAGGCTTTTCTGCTGTAAACTGGACCTGGCCAGGCTTCCTGACAAAAGTATCTGAAGAGTGAGGCACGGCAGCACCCAGCACTCCCAGGCTGGACTGCACAGAGAGGCAGTTGGTTCTTCCTCCTCTTCCCCTTGATCTCTGCCACACTTCTGAGGACATCACCTCCAGTTTGGAGAGCCACTGTGCTGGTAACAGTGAAGAATCATTAACAGATGGCACCAAATACAGCGTGGTGTATTTCACCCACTGTGGTCTTATTCCATAAAAAGAAAGCAACTAAAGCTTTCATATCCTGAGCAAGTTTTTCATACTAAAAACAGAGTTCTTAAAAAATTCTGTTTTTCTAAAGATAGTAGAAGTGTATTATACGACCCTAAAGCCTTCACTGCAGATGGCTCTCCAAATCTGAAGAAAGGTGCAACCACAGCACAGACAGGCAAACAGATGCTTTCATCCAGCTACCATAAGGAGGACAGACAGATACACATTCTGCAAACAGCTGTGCTGGCAAAAAACATTATTGAACCATGTGCTCATCATTCTTCTACTAGGAGTTACCTTGGTTAAAGATATATCAAAATATGCAGAATGTACTGAAACAGTTTCAGTAGTGAGCTGTTCTACACTATTTTATTCTTAATGAAGCAGGTCAGGGAGCACAAACAGATCTGTTAGCAAAGCTGGCAGAACAGCCACAGGACTGCTGGATGTAGTAACATCCACTACTGTCACAGGCAAACAAAACAACAAATCCACAGTGCTGAAGTTTGAGAACAGGCTAGAAAACAGCCCACTAGGAATGGCTGTTAAATGTCCTTGTTACTAGCCTGCATTGAAGCCATACCACTAGACCTTTGCTGTAGTAATGTAATCTACATTGCCTAAATAACATTTGCATACTAGTTATAATTCTGCTCTCAATTTGTTAGACATACCCTGTACTATCACTTCAAAGCCTGCCGTTGTGGGGAGAAAAAAGTTTTCAGCTCACACTTATTTAGCTGTGAAACGCATTCAGTGTTTAGTGGCAAACAGAAAAGAAGTATTTCCCTCTGTGGAATGCCCTGTGAATAAAATGGAAAGAGAGGGTAGGATCCTCAAAAGCCCATGTGTAACTTAAGCTCAAGTCCCCTCGCAGCATTAGAGGATTGATGCCTCTGAGCCACATATACACTTTAAAAATACAATCTTTTTTGTATAGTTTGTATTGCAAGACACTGCACAGCTCATTAGCTTCTATAATTAAGTGACTACCCTGGCCTCCTACCTGATATAGCAACCTTTGCTCTGCACGCCATCCGGTCTTTTGTCTCATTTTCTGAAGACCTCCAAAAAAGAAGAAAAAAGGTATTTGAGATTAGTGCACTTAGATATCTAAAACTCAACCCTTTAAACACTAAGAAGTGTCAGGATTTTCATATTATAGCTCATTTCAAATGCTTTTCTTTAAAGTTAATTTTGGTATCTCTGGTTTAAGATGAGAGTCATTAATTTCTTAAGCATAACCTGGAAGGAAGGTACACAACCTGTTTAAAAAATTCTCTAGAAGACTTTACTCCAAAGCATACGTAACCAGAGTATTAAAAGATTAGTAGATTCATCTTCTTTGTATTTTCCAGCTGCAACAGGATCAAATACATTATCAATTTTTCTCTTCTGTACATGTCAATGAAGATGCAACTTAATTTATTGGTTCTATTATTTAAAGAATTGCCGCCTCCTCCTCTACTAATTAAATGAAAGTTTCTATCTGCTACCAGTATCATGACTTCCAGAGGCAGTTAGAATATCTTCAGAACTCACAGATGATAGACCCTAGAAAACCCTAGAATTTTCTCTCTCTGCCATGATTAAGCCTTAAACAAATTCCAGCCTGAAGCAAATATCAAAAGAAAAGGACTCCAAATGGACTATCAACTACTAAAGGTACAATTGAAATTACTCTGTAGTGTGCCTCTCTTTTAATGACCTCCATGGACATCTCAAGCACCCCTGAGGACAGAAATCCAAGCAATGCATGGCAGTCAGAAATCAAGTACACAATGCAACTGTTCAGATACCCCTGCCCTGTTCTGGACATGTGCCATCACCATTCTGTGCTCACTGACACCAAAGACAAGGAGTTGACACACTTGATATTATTCCATCACTAAAAATGTAAATAAAAGATTAACCACTACAAAATTCTTTACTTTATTAGGAAAAAGCAATACAAATGCAATAATTACAGAATACCACATGTATTATATGCTAGTTTTCAAAATCAGCTTCAGAATAGTGCACAGAAAACGCTGCTCTTTCCTCCACCAGTTTTCTCCTATAAGGCAACATTCTGAAACCAAAAAGTAGTGGAACTGCTCCTACAGATAAAATTAACTGGAGCCAAGCATATACTCAAAGAGTTTCGACACTAAGCTGCAATGTAGTATTTCAATAAATTATTAACGTGAGAGCAATAGGGTCTCTGCACTACGATTCTCAACATTGCACCTCAAATAAATTCCATTTAGACCAAAACTTTGTAACGTTATTCAAATAAAACACACACACTTTAGCTCCTTGAAGAGTTACAATGTGAGAATATTTTCAGCTACTTCACTTCTCATTGAGCGTTACATTTATCACTTCGCTGTAGTTAACACAAGTGGCCAGCAGAGGGCACCAATTAACCACGACGGGGCCATTATTAAAGGACCATTGATAACAATAGAAAGAATGAAAAATACGAATAGCTGCATTCTGTCTTGGGTAGCTTTGTTTTCCCCCATCAGATGCGGCTAGGTACCTTTTTGTATGCTAAGGGTAATCAAGAAAATACGTCCATTGTGTTACTTGATACTAAATTAATGTCAAAAATAAAATCTACCCAGGAAACGTAACTTGTATTTAATTTTCTAAAGCAAAAAGAAGACAGCAGAATTATTTTGTAAAGTAACGCCTTACGGCAGCAGTAATTTATGTTTCGGAGATAAGGAAGGACTTAAATCCACAGTCCTAGACAGACTGCTAAAAATTCAGGTAAGTAAATGCCTGCTTCATGCTGCTCCTCTGAATTTGAGCTGTTACTCACTGCTCCTCTGCCCTGCCCGGGCTGGGCTCCTCCTTTGGGCCCTGCAGCTGTGCCCTGTAGGCCCTGATGCGAGCGTTGCAGACCATCAGGTCCTTCACAGCGCGCAGGAGCTGCTCCCTCTGCGTGCTCACTGCCAGCAGCCTGCAGATGCCTTCTCGCATGCGGACCTCAAAGTTGATCTTCTCTTGGGTGTCACATTCCTAGACATGCAAAAAAACCAAAGGATTAAATTAAAAACTAACTAAGAGTATTCTAACCTTTTTGCATCCTCTGCAGTTGGGATAGAGAACTCTAGGTTTCAATTATACAGCTACTGCAACTGTTACTGAATGTGGAATGGGTACTGAATGAGGAATGGTAGTTCTCTCTTCAGGAACAAAACAGATTTACTATAGCCATTATACATGCAAATTCCAAACCAAGATTAACTCACTGTACCATCTGAAAGTTACTAAAATTTTATGTGCCTCCATGTGTCATTCATAGAATAATAGCATATGGTTCTAGAGAGGGCTAACTGAACAAAGCTTATAAATCAACAACCCACTTTTAACAGTGATCCCTACTAAAATAAACTTTGAATTGAAGAAAACGTCTGAAATATTTTAAATCAGAAACTCAATCTCATCACCTCTTCAGTTATCTTTAAAAAAGGGAAGAAAATCTGTTTTTTTTCACTTATGGTTGATAAGAAATTCAGGTAACAGCAGAAGCAAAGAACAAAGGAGAGTGATCCCAATACTCAACTGCATCAGGCCATGAACTGAAAAGTCAAACAGCTGTGGTGGCTTCAAGACTGTACAGGCATCATGTCAGGCACACTTTTCATTCAAACTATGAAGTAAACTAAACATGGCTGGCAAGTCACTGGAATTCACCATCGCTGCATTTGGAAGGAGTGGGGGGTTTTAAGGTTTTATAAAATCTGCTGAGAAGTCAACTCTTCTCTGCCTGCTTTCACAGAAAATATTTATAAATGTGCATTATTCCTCACTTCTGACTTCAAAGAGGTCACTCCACACCAGGCCAGGAAATAATTAAGGTGAAGGACCACAGACTGCTGTCTCCCAAAGGCCCACTAGATGCCATTGATGGTTGATACACATTACCTTGTTATGTGGCCGTCCCTGGCCAAACCAAATATTTCTGACATGTGAAGAACAGAGAGAATAACAGAATGCTGTCATGGTATTGCAGGGTTGCATTGCAAATACTTTGCAAGCCAGTGAAGAGCGACACTTTCTCATTACTAAACAAGAGTGCTCAGTTACCTCTGGAATTAACAAATTCATGGTTGGTTGGTGGTAAATAGCTCCCAAAGCTCACATCAGAGATATTTTCCATAGATGTTCTGCTGGTACAGAACTTCTCTACAACTGATATATGCAAGCCTGGGACCTTGAATGGCACTGCAGACTATCCCATTTTTAACCCTCATAGGTTTGCTTTTCAAAGCTTCAGTCACAGACAGAAGGGGATAAAGTAGGGCAACTGCACCTCTGCATTCTCAGCATCTGCATCTTTAGCCACACTTTTTCTTAGGACCCAATCCAGAAAAGAACACAAAAAGAGAGTAGTAAATAGCTGACATCCATCTTCTTTTCTTCCAAGTCAAATTTTACATGGCTATGAAACCCTAAATAAGGCCCATACCTGTCCCTAAGAAATAATTACTTATTCTCTGAGCCTAAACTAATAAATCAGCTCCAAAGAATGACATCCTACTTCCCCGTAATAATTCCCAAGACAGCAAGCCTCTGCACTGCCCTGGCTCCTCTCCACATCTATCACCTGTTACAGAACTACAGCGAGGAAACAAACACTCCTATTTAGGGCATCTGCATGTATCCATAATGGCTTTCAAGAACTACACGAAGCATTCAGTCCACACTACATCTCAGCCAGGCTCACGTAAAATATTCTGGACTAGCAGTAAATGTCTGTTGGGCCATAGCTTAAATAAGCGTCCTGTATAAATCTCATCTGAAGGAAGGATTTAGCAGCCTGACTTGGGAACGTATGAAGTTCTTTATGCCTACCAAAAGAGATTGGTCAGCTTCCCCCCCACACCCATTCTGTTTAAAAATATAAGCACACCATCTGGACTTGGAGGAATGACACTGCACTGTATTGCCATATGCTGTCTACTAATGCACTGTTTCCCTCGCGGGGTCCATCCTTCCCCCACCAACGGCAGCACAATCCAGACGAGATTATTAACAGCTGCTGGGATTTTCAGCCTCTCACTCAGGAGCTACCTAAGCAATGCTTCTAAGAAGTGTCTTTAAATTCCCCACCTAAGTATAAGAAATTTTTATAATATTACACAGGCAATGCAGTCACAAAACAAACAAATACAACAAGAACAGCTGAGAAAAATTTACAGATACTGCCAAAGGTAGGACAGGTAGAATTTTTACTTCATTTAATCGGTAACTTCATTACAGGCTTTCAGAATCTTATTCCAAGTACACTTCTGCTTTACTGCCACAACTGTTTACATGTAAACCTAAAAGCCTAAACCCCGTAAGTATAGTATATATTTTTAAAGTAAGCAAGTAGCCAGGCAGCGGGTGCTCTCCTAGAACAGGGGCTATGAAGTCAATTCAGCACCTCGGGCATTTTGTAGCTAGAGGTAGAAATGAGAAATGTGTGGCTGTCCATTGCTGCAATGGACAGCCACAGTCTCACAGACACTCCCGAGCTCGACTTATCTGGGTTTTTAACCAACTCGAAGTGTTAAAAAACCCTCACGAATCGGAAAATCAGGAAAGATTAAAGAGGCGGAGGGGAGCGTGAGCGGGGACGCAGCTCGGCCCGGCCCAGAGCAGCAGCTCTGCCGGGGCGGCCCCTCAGGAGCGCGGCCGCCCCGCCGCCACCCCCGAGGGCCTCGGTGCGCGGGCTGGCGGCCGCCACAGCCCCGAGCTGGGAGACAACGCAGCTCCCGCCCCGGGCACCCCCCGAACCGGGCACCGCCCCCGAGGCTGCGGGCCGGGCTTGCCCGGCCTGCCAGCCCCGCACTCACCGGCCCCGCGGCGCCCAGCCCGCCCGGCTGCTGCCGCCTCATCCTCCTCGTCCTCCTCGGCGGCGCCGTTCAAACCTCCCGCCCCGGCAACGGCCGCGGCCGCCCCGCCCCCGGCCCCGAGCGCCCCCGGCAAGGCGCGGCGGGCAACGCTGCAGGGCGCTCGGGGCCCGCCGGCTGCTACCGACTGCAGCGCTAATCCCGTCAGGTTCAGCCACAACAGCCAGTGCCAGTAATGGAGGCCAGGACGGAACTTTCTTGGCTTCTTTCTTCCCCGTTAATTTACTTTCCTGAAACGGCCGGTGCCGCCTTTCTGATGAGCACTCTTACCGGGAGCGGCTCATGGCAGCAACTGCTGCTGCTCCAAAGCATGCCATGAATTTTTAACTGTGTTCTTGGGTTCCTGCAGTTCATCTAATTATGCATCTTTAATACGATGGTACTTCAATAGCTGCACTAGTAGCACATATTGTTAAAATTATACTGTTATACTGATTAAAAGTGCATTAATTATTCACTAGATTGACTGGAGAGGAATGGGAGTCATATCTCTCTCTTCTGCTGCCAGTTTTGCAGCTCTGTTTGTCTTTGGCAGATGAAACAAATGAGCCAAATAGTGTCTCCCATCCATTCCTCATTCCCGATTTCTTGGCTTTCCTCTCTGAATTCCTCCTTGACAGGTGATGGTCAAAAGCACAGATCTTCATTGCTTTCCACAGGATTGTCAACATTTGTGGGACATAAAATGTGCTGGAATGAGTGAGATATACAGTGTTGCTAACAGCTTTCTACAGAAGACAGAAGTCTCCAGGCTAACATATGCTTATTTAAAATATAAGAAAATGCAGTTAGAAGGGAAAATTTTAAAGCATCATTGCTTCATCAGGATTTCACATAGGTGCTCTGCAGTTCACCTGGACTCCTGACATTTACAATTTACAATTGTAATTTACAACAATTGGGGCACAAACACAGCGGGCTAGCCTTGAAGGAAAACAATGAACTTGTAGAGCAAAGGTGCAAGGCAGAGGACAGGGAGCTCTGCTTCCCTCCAGAATGCTCATCTCACCTGGAGGCAGAGATGGCTGTTCTGGAGCACCTGTCTCCATCTTGGGCCATGTTTCTTAGGGCATTCAGATATTCATTAAATACCTTCATGCCATGCTGAAGTCCTCTGCATACCACTGGCAGTGCACATGCCACAACTGGGAAGCCCTATCCTGTTGCATACAGGTAAAATCTTACAAAATAAGGGCCTTGTTAATCTTGTAAAATCACAGCTCAGGCCTGTTACTTCAGCTGAGCAGAAAAGGACTATAGGAAAGTGACTCAGCTGAATTAGAAGCAGAAAAACAAATTATATAACCACTACATGATGATATTGTGGTGTATGGTGGTTGGTTGAATTACATTTGTTGCGCTTAATTGGAATGTAACTGATAAAGGCCTAACTGCTTTAGAAGGCCTGGTTTTTGCAATAAAGGGCTCTCTCTCTGCACCTGCCTGGGGAGTCTGCATCCCTCTGCTTCATAACACTACCCCAGGTTATATATTTATGGATGCTATATTTTTTCCTGTTGTTTGGATACTCTCTCCTGTTCTTTAAGTACTGTGACTTTCCCAAAAAGTTTTTGTCCAGTTATTCAGTGGAAAAATCCCATCAGGGAGCCAAAAGGCTTTTGCTTAATCAAGGTATGATACTTAGAGCTGCGTATGGACAGCCAATATATCTAAGAGTGAGCTTAAGGGAGGTTTAAAGGGAAGTCTCCACCTAATCCTGGTGCTTCATGCACCCAGGATAAGCCTTGGGCCCCTGTCTCTGCTGCAGAGTTCAGGATTTTGGATAGCTTAAAAGCAGTCCACTAAATGAGGGGAGAACATGAGCTGACCGATCAGAGTGCCCTTTTGCTTTACAATAAGGTGTATCTCTTAAAGTGGGGTCTGGCCTCTCCTGAATCACTCAGGGATGGCATTTGAGCCTCAAAAATCTACAGGTAATTTTCTAGGCTACAGAAGAAAACTAGAAACAGTAACATGTCATGGACTGGAATTGAACCAAACAGCTGAACTGAACCATATTATCATTGAATCGGTGCTTGACCCACACTGAGTGAGGCTACAGCCTTGACTGAATGGCTGAAACTCTTTGATGATTTTGATGTAAACTGGGAGCAGCTGGAAATTATAACCTTACTGCAGACATAAATAAGGAATTAATTACTGTAACTCTGCCTTGCTAACATCCCTTCACCAACTCACCAAATAGTGCCCTACCATGGAAAATTGATACAAGCTGTAAAAAAGACACACTGCAACACTTCCTATCCAGCATCATCCCAAGCAGTTCGGGTTACACTCTGGAACAAACCCACTGGTTCAATCTTTGCAGAAGCACTGCCTCCAAAACCCCTGAGAACAGCTCTCAGGTATGCACCAATAGGGTTTTGTCAAAAGCCAGGATGACTACATAGACACAATAAAAATCACTGCAAAAGGACAAGTTATGCCCCAAATTATTTCAGGCAGTCAGCATCTCTAAAACCATTTTGCTGGTGGTGTAGACAGCTCCCAGGAATCTGTGGCAGTTGTCCAAGAATTTTAGATGCTAATTAACATGGTTTTCCAGTACAGTCTGTTCAGCAAATCTGAGTCTTAATAAAGTCCCAAAATGTGACTGCTAGTAGCATAAAGAGCCCGTGCCTGCAGCCCGTACACACTCCTACAGACTTGAATTGGAGCCCTTAAGAAATCAGTGGCAGTTGAATGTGTAGGACTCAGCCCTAAGCAACATGAATAGTATCTTCTCAAGCTCAATGCATACCTGCTCTTCAGCTGGTTCAAATGTCCAATTTTCCAGTACATTAGGAACATGTTTCTGCAAAGTCTGGCTTCTCACATTCTTGCACCTGCTTCTGCTTTGGTCCTCCGTTGCATTCACTTTCTGGAGATGTTAGGTTTTTTCATTATAAAATCAGGTTCATAATTCAGTAGATCTGTCAGATGCTTAATTAAAAAATTAAACATTTCACCACACTTCTAGTATTAGCTTTTAAAGGAACGTGAGACTGAGGCTTTAAAAAGCATTTCTACAGGTTTAAAATTAGGTGAAATGCTCTTTCCACATCTCATGTCTAGCTCCAACAGGGCTCTTTTGCTGCTGTTACAGCACACAAACTAACTTGAAATGAAGAAGGCTTTATGCCATCTACATTATCCAGAGATTTGGGATTCAACTAGTAACTAACTATTCTGCTTGCTCCCTAACTGAAGGGTAAATGCAGCAGACAGCAACAAAAAAGAAAGCATTGTAACCATGCTTTTTCTCCAGACAAACCTCCACTGAATGGCAGAGAAACCCAAAGGCACAACCTACCAAACAAGGAAAATCCTGCACAGTCACTGCTGCTAGTGCAGAGAAGTCAGAAGGGGGTAGGGTGAATTAAATAGGGGATCTATATCCTGCCTTCTGGGGTTTCTTAAGTGAAACATTTTTTTTCAGATGAATCACACCATCCTTTTATTTGGCATTTGATTTGCATTGCAAAGCACTTGGCTTCCTTCTAGTATTAGGGAAACTGGATAGCAGAGAAAAGATCATTGTCTATCTAAATCACTGTTCTGCTCAAGTGTTAGATCAGCATATTATTTTAAATGTTAGGCCCATCATTTTGGTTTAGCAGGTACAAAATGTCTACACCTACTCTTGACAGCACTGCAGTATTTTTCTTAATTTCTTAGTTCCCACAGCTTGCTACACCTACTCCTTGAATATCATCAGTGTGCCACTAGAAATGTATTCAATTCCTCTTCAGGTTTATCCTAAATGGAAATCTATGAAGACTTGAACTGGACACATGGGAAAGAATTTGTAAAGGCTTTTTATAACTGATTACTTATTTTATTTTAAACTGAAGAGCAAATTGTTCCCACTGATTGCCACTGGCTTTGATTGCCATGGTATGCGACTACTATAGATTGGTGAAATGGGCAGAGACAGGAATTTAGGGTGTTTACTTGACCACTTACTGGAGCATCAGTAACTCATTTCTTCATTTCAGTCTGCTGGGGTCAGTTGGAAGTCCTTCCATTCTCTTAGCTGGGCAGAAGGGCAACATGTAGTCCTACAAAACAAAGTAAATATGGGTAACTACCTTATTGTAATGCACTTCAGGTTCAGTTTTGATAAGGTGAAAATTAATCATCTGTCTGACAGTGAGCTAAAGCTTAACCCTATCATGGCGAAAGTTATGGCAAGAGAAAACTTTATAGGCTCCATCTTAGCTAATTAAGCAGTGTGAAATAGGTTCCTTCTCTAAGGTAGTCACAGACCCAGTTGTTGAAGATGCCATCCTATAACATGCAAGTGCCTAAGGATGTATCATCCTTATCTTCCTGCCATAATTAGACAGAGAGGCCAGAACAGCTTAGAATAAACTGTTACTATTTAGGTGTTCTCAGATTAATTTTACCCCGAGAGCTTGTTCATCTTCTGCTCAAGTTTTTTTTTTTTAATGTTCTGCAGTTCTCCTTCAACTGCTGTAGGGCTCCCAATGGCACCAAGATCACATCTCTGTATGATGCCATCAACTAAACATTGATACCAAGGTGCTTCAGTGAACTGTTTTGTTGATCATTGCATATTTTTGTAGAATTTCTAAAAGAAACTGTGGAAGGTTGAAAAAGTAATTATTTTTCCTTTTTTCCAGATAAGAGGCCAGAAATTAACTCCTCACAGTATTCCTGATGTCAATCCTATATTGAAATGCCTTCAGATTAAATTAATGTAGCCTTTTTGAATCACCATATGAGATAAATGCACTCAAAATACATTTTATAACAGAAATAGTAAGTTATATAAAATCCATTCTCATATGAATTTGGAAAACACTTCCTGAGATCAAACCTGAAAACCTTGTCAATCAAATGAAACATTGCATGATTTGAAACTAAATTTTGATCATCCTCCAGACCCTAAAGTTGCCCATAGCCAAGACAGTGGATGAGTAACTAACTGAGGTATACCAGTCACATGTATTCTTCTGTTTCTACTTTGGAGACCAGAGGCATTGCTTTTGAAGCCAATTCATATGTGGCTCCCACACAGGTATAGAATTGAGCCCATCAGAAGTATCCTGTTGGACAGGGATCTTCACAGGTGACTGACAGCTTCACTAGAATCTTCTGTCCAGCTGAGAACACAATGTGGAAACACACGGTCTAACAAAGTAAAAGTTTTGCAGCTTTCCCTAAGTTTAGAAATCTATGTGGTCTGTCTTTTCTATTCCACTTTCTATCTTTACAGCAGCTGAAGGAATGACACTATCTTTAATTCTTTTCAAAATCAAAGGTGATTGAAATTGTCTGCTTAGATCCATTTCTAATAGGGGGACATTCATACACACAGAGAAATGGTCACACAAAAATAACACTGCTGTTTAAAACCCAGAGAGGTCCTTTCAGCTCTATATTACAGGGACCTTCCATACAAGGAGGGTTTCCTAGAGATTCCAAACTTCCATACTATGCCTTTGACTAGGATTACTGAGTCCTAGTTTGGTTTCTTGGGCTTCTACTGCAGGTAGCATTTGGTGTGTAAAATATCCATCTGAGACAGCTGCATCCAAATGTATGCTAGGCAGTGTGCTGGGAAAGTCACCAGTTTGTGTCATGGGAGAATCTAACTGGGCACTCTGTGTTCTGGTTGCAGGGTTAGGCATGTTAGGATTTTTCCCAATTGATCTTACACAGGCAAGTGAGAAGTCACTGGATCATTTAATGGATTACCACTTTGAACCTGAAATGGAGAGTAAGTGCACTGAGAATATCAAAAATCTAAACGCCTATATGAGAAAATTATGTCAGAAAATCATCTTCCTTTTGATAGACAGAGGACTTCCACCTATTGCTGTGAGAGCAGATGTAAGCCCACTTCTGATAGTGCTCACCCAGGTAAAAGGAGCAATTCTCCAGTTAGCTCTTGGGATTGGCTTCTTTTTTTCCTTAAGGTAGATCCAAGCTAAGTATTTGCAGATGGTTTCTCTGTTTTTCCCAAACAATGTCGAATATCTCTGCAGAACACAATACTTGCAAACAATCTCCATCTGAAGCGAGTTTGTAGTTTGGTCTGAATTTTCCAAGTACTGGAATATATGTATCTAGGGAGAGAAAAACAGCAAAGCAATGTGCTCTGGAGACCAAGCAACATTAGCTGCCCTCTGTTATGCCACCTGCAATCAAGTTCCCCCTGCACTGCAGCACTGCTAAGGAAGTAAATAGTAATTTGCCCTTACCACTGCACATCTTGAGGTGACAGCTGGCATAATAGCCCAGTATAAATTGACTTTGCATTTCACACACTATTTGGATTGTTTTGATCCAATCTCAGGGAGGATATTCAAAGGAGCATGGATAGGGATCTATACTTCACTGCAAACTCTCACTTTGCCATAAGAAATGTTTCTCATTCGTATGAGATTGGTTTGCCTCAATAGTATTCCAAATCACACTTGGGGCTATGACCATCTGCAGCTCCTTAGTTTTTCCTGCCTTGCCACAAAGCTGTAATTTTTCTGCATTTTTCTGTCCTGAGTTGGGTTCCAGCTGCATAAATGGGCATTTGTCATGCAGATCAGGCCAAGAAAGAGTGAGCCAAACCAAGAAGTATTAAGGTAAATGTTATTTCATGAATATAGCACAGTAAAAAAAAAACAACCTCTAATTACTATCAATGTATTTATTAATGTGTGCAACATAACCATTTCTGGTTTGAAATTTCTATCAGAGGTTTTAAGCTTCTGGTCCTTAAGGAAAATCTGGCTTGCAAATTATGTCCTGTTTCTTACAGAAATAGATACTGAATAAATATTGAACAGTTCATCCACTCAAATGCTTAGATAAAAGAAATAGATCCACAGGAATAAAAGGATTTAAGTTTTTAGAACTGCCAGATAATTTTTCTATCCTCAGCATCCCTAGTTCCTGTGCCTCCACCAAACTTCTCCCTAAATCCAGTCTCTTCCTTTGCCCCTCGGAGTGCAATACCACTGTGATATAACTTGCCTCCTTGAAACCCCAAAAACAAAAAGTAATCGTCACATCCCAGTCAATACTGGGACCCCAACAGGAAACTAAGGCTGTTCCTGGGGAATAAGCCCAGAGTCAGACCAAATCTTTTATACAGGTGATGCTTTTTTTGTAGAATCACTGCGGCGTTGGATCGAAATTGTCCATTCACCTGTAGGAGGGATTAGGATATCATTCCATAGGCTAGAAGGATCCATTCCATAGGCTAGAAGGATCCAAGGGGAGAAGCTTGCTGCAAAAGACCCTGTGGACACCCCATGGCTGGGGATGGGCAGCACACCCTCTCTTCAAGCTTACCACAGCTGCACTGCAGGAAACCAGCCCAGCTATTTTTTTTCCTACTCCAGTTCCCCTCGAAGTCAAACCACAGGGAGGAGATGAAACTGGGCTGTGCATGTGTTCTCTTCAATGTGAGATGGAAATGCTAATGATAATATTTTTTGCCTAACAAGATGACCCATTTTTTACTCATCATTATGAAAAATCGGGGGTTGAGTAGCAAATATGAGTAACTACATTTTACCTGAGTTTGGTTTGTCAGACATTTCTATCATCCTTCTAACCATTTCACAGCCTGTTTAATGAGCTGAGACAACACTTCATGTCACTGTTAGAATTTTAAATTAAAATTATGGTAACAATAAATAGCACCTCATGTTTTTACAGACAATTTCATCTAGAAGAATAAAAATAACTAGTTCTGCCTGGATGCATGCATGACTTGCACACATGCACATGTTTACTTTCTTATCTAAAAATCAATTTGAGTTCTAGAAAGCTATTTCTAGCACTTGATTCTAACCCTGTGTTTGTATAGTGTCATCAAAAGGCAATCAGGATGTTTAAAGAAAAACCAACAAACAGCAAGTGCATTTTTTTTAACAGGTTCTTCAAAAAGTTAATGCAGACCCAGAGACGAAGTTATCCAAGTCTGATACAGAGGGACACCTGTTCAAGATAATCCTCAAATACTTTTTTGCTAACAGTGTTTGTGCACTAAGGCTGTTTCAACCAACAAGTTAAAATCTCTGATTTTTTTTATTCTTTCTCTGTTCAGGAATGTTTTCCCTGTCCATAAACAATCTCTGCAACACTAAGTCACCTTGCTTACACAGATAAGGCATCATATTTTGTGAGAGAAAACACTAGCAAAAGCAAGCCACTACCTAACATGAAGACCATTTTTTCTTCTTCATTTATTTCATAGTGTGGACACTCACAACAAAGTCTTATTTTTTTAAAAGTAGCCCTGCTCAGTCATACAGCCCCCTTCAGAAGTGTATTAACTTCCATCCTTAGAACACCAGCCCAGGAGGGAGCTTTGAAAGATACAAGTGGGCTGTTGCTCCTCATCAGCCCTTTGTGTTGCCTAAAGTCTCTCTCCAGAAGTTCCTCCCTCTCCCACTTTTGAGAGGGACAAGTTCTTTCACACACGTGTGTTGCTACACAGCCACGAGCACGCTCTTGCTGAATGGATCTGAACAGGCACTTGGCACCACCAGGCACTGAAGCAGCCAGAACTTCACTGGCAGCTTTCATGCAGGCAGTACACACACCACTAATCTGAACAGGTTTTTCTCATTACCACCCGAGTCACACAGTTTTTAGGCATTCCTTTCAAATTGTCTTATGACATGACATTGCTAGGTTGGTGGAGAACTTCTTAGACAATTTTAGAGGTAATAAGTTTCATACATATTTGGTGCCATAATGGTTTATGTGCCACCAAGTGTACTTTACTGGCTAGAAAGTCATCCATGGCAAACAAGATTCTCCAGGCTATGCCTCTGAGGGATCAGACTTTTGTAAGGAATTAATAATCATTCTCTTGTTACTAATAGTTTCACCTCTGGGCATTTCTAAACTAAATTTACTGATGCAACCAATTAGCCTGAGTTTGGGATAAAATGTTTCAAAAGAGAACAGGCAGAGGACTCTAATGGCAGGTAGCACTGCAGCTTCCATGAAAGCCTTGGAGAGAAACTGCATGGGGAATTTTGCATGCTGGGAAGGCTCACCTGAGTTTAGCATAGGCATGGATCAGTTTGAAGATGGAACCAAGCCCCATTTGGATGAGATCAGTCTGGACTCTGTTCCTGCTCCTTGTGGGAGGATCCTTGGCTGCAAATTATATAAAGTTAGCAGCCATCTGGGGGCAAGAAATTTGAGGAAAAGCTAGAAAACACCATAGCCCAATACATTTTTTCCTTTGGTGAACACATGTTCCTTCAGTTCCCAGCCTCAGATGGAGCTAGCTGGGAAGCTGTCTGGTCTGTCTGATGGAGCTGAATGGTCACACAGATGTCAAGACCTACTGCCTGAGAGATAGACACAGGTGCAAAAACACCTGTTTTCAGGAATCTTTGTACATATTGATCTTACCTATCTTACAAATTGTAAATATATCTATGTTTCATTGCACATGTGGCAGGAGCACAGTATTTCCCAAGGACTGTGCCTTCTACTTACTCAATTTTTCCAAGGATACATATCTGTTAAATTATCTAGAGCACAGCTTGTTTATTTCTTTGCTACCTGCATACATATCTTTAGTTCATAGCACTTTTTAGCTCCTGTAATAAGAACATGTCATTGACTTCAGAGCCTTCTTTTGAGAAGAAACTCCTTTGTGCATAAAACCATTTGACAGAACCTTCTTGCATGCTCACAGGCAGGGCCTTCAAAGTGGTATTAAATACAGTCTACCACCTTGCTCTGAACACTGCAGATTTAGCAATTGCAAAGGGTAGCATTCATTATAACAATAGACATTACATTGTCCCTCAAAGGACAACAAACTCACCTCAGCTGGCACTACACGAGACATTGCTTTAACACGGAACATTTGGCGCAAAATACCAGATGTAAATAGAGGCCCATTTCTGCACCAAGACACTGCCTAACACTTCCAGAGTGAGCACCATTTAGAGAAGAGCAGAGCTGCAACCAGAGACAAACAATGCCTTGCTTTCATGCTCAGGTGAATTCCACCCCATCTAACAGATTTCTCTTCTTGCCACATGCAACCTGCTGCAGGAGAGGCAAAGGACTCCAGAACAGCTGTGCAGCCATATCTTTTTTTTCTGCCCAGTTTGAGCATTGCTTGGCTGCAATCTGAAAACTGCACATTACCAGCAAAGTTAAAACACTGGAAAAGAACAGGCATTTTCATCTCACTACCATGTAGGAACTAATGAGTGCTCTGTACTGTTCTTCTAAGTTTGTCCCATTCTTGTAGACTATGTCTTCTCTTTGTCATTCAGGAAGCCTGTTGGCTTAAGTGAGCCCCTCTCCAGTAATTTGGAAAGCCTCATTCATCCCTCCCATTCAGAGTCCTACCAGCAGGAGCCTCCAGCCTACTCAAGTCATTCTCCCAGGACAGCAATAGCTAATCTCTCAGACCTTTACATGTAATGCAAGCATGAAAGTGAACTGCTCACATAAATATCAGAAAAAACAGGAAAGATTATGAAGGAATAGAATTGTCCTTAAGCATCCAATAAAATCAAAAAACTTTCAGATGACATTAAAGACACAAGTCTGCACTGTCTTCGGTGTCCCTATGTGATACTTGGGATGCAGGTACCCTGAGCAGAAGGGAATTTAATATATGGAATCATTTAATATATAACATCAATGTGAAAAGCTGCAGAGCCAAATTTTCTCAGGGAATAGAAATGACTACACTCAAGATACAGAAAACTTTGTAGCATTCTACTAAGTTTTGTCAGTATTCCTCTGAATCCAAACTAAGGTTTCCCTGTTGGTTTGAATTTGTTACCACTGTGTAATAGTAAACAGAGAATAAAATACCTTTTATTGCCCAAACTGACATTTTATTCCCTACCTCTTGTTTTGGTCTTCCTTCTTTTGAAAGAACTGCTGCGTACTGTACGCTTCACAGTCTGGGTATTTTTCAGTATACTCTTCCTTTCCTGTTCCTTCTGTTCTGAGTTATTGCATTACCATATGTAGGAAAGTGCCCCAAATACATTAGTCCTTAAAAATCACATAATAAGATTGTTGATACGTGACAGCAAAGACCAAGCAGCCCATGCCAGGAGGAACCAGA